GGAGGAGACGAATACGTGGATGCTCCGCTCACCAAAGAAGAAGAAGAGGAGATAGAACGAGAAATAGCTGCAGAACGCGGAGAGCGATCACCACGCGTCCCTATTCCGCTAGGACACCCACCACGCAACCTGCCGCCATCACCGCACTCACCACCATGGCGCTGGAACAACCCCTGGTCGGAGATTGAGGAGGGGAACGTGCCACCAACTCCCCCACGTGACTCACTTGGTCCAATCTCCCGCCCAGATCCATTCGCCCGCCTTATCGAAGGCACGAGGACTCCGCTCAACATCATCCCCGATCGCGAATTTCTTGCGCTCTACCTCACGACGGCACCTGCAGAAGGGGAGACAGCAACAGAAGCAGAAGCAGAGGAGCCGGACAACGAAGCAAATGAAGAAGAAGAACCTCCACTCCAGATTCCGCAAGAAACAGAAGCGGAAGTGGCGGAACACCGTGCACGTTACATGCGCACTTCCGTGATCCGCACCGAAGATGACCTCTGGTACCAGCGACTCGGTCACCCCTCGCGCCAGACACTCAACAACTGTCTCCGCGCCAAAGTGTTCCCCCCAGGAGCACTGCTGCGCCCCGACGGCACGGAACCCCACAACACCCCACACCCAACCACCTGCACCGTTTGTCCCACAGCTGCCCTCTCTCACAGTGCCTACCCCTCCCTGGAACCAAGCACCAACCGCTACAAGAAGCTGCAAAAGGTGTATAGCGACTTCATCGTGCTCACCTACGACGGCATCACCGGCGAGAGGTACACACTCACCTTCGTGGACGCCTACTCACGCCACGTTTGGATCGCCAACGTCAACGCTCGCTCCAAGGCTCCAGAGGTCTTCCGCATCTGGCTCGCACATGCGCAACGACAATCGGGGAGGAAGCTAAAAATCTGGCAGAGCGACGGGGCCAAGGAGTTCCGCAGCAACGAGCTGGAGAGCGTCCTCACGGAGAAGGGGATCAAGCATGAGGTTTCACTCCCCTACACTCACCAGCAGCAAGGCGTTGCAGAGAGGGTTAACCGCACCCTCATGACAAAAGTGCGCGCCCTCATGAATCCGTCCGGCCTTCCCAAGAAATATTGGCCGTACGCCATGAACCACGCGGTGCGACTGCACAATCTTCTCTCCACCACGGCCAACCAGAACAACCTCTCCCCGCACATGAAGTGGACCGGCTCAAAGGGAGATCCCTCCATGCTGAGGGTTTGGGGGTGTATGGTGCAGTACCGGCCGACGACCGCGACAATCGGCAAGTTCACTCACCGTGCGCGCTGGGGAGTCCATATGGGACTCAGTAATGAGTACAAGGGTTGGCTCATTCTTGACATTGACAGCAAGCAGATTGTCCCCGCTCGTGATGTTCTCTTCTATGAGCGACTCACCTTGCAGCAGTGGATTGACGACGAACGTCGCAACGAAGCACGCGGCTACGTCAACAGCGGCCGCAGTTTCGCATCCCCAGAAGACGAAGCAGCAGCAGCAGCACTCGACCGCGATCCTGTCGACGAACATCCCGGCGTTCCGTCTCGCCCGCGCGACGACGACGACGATGATGACGACGACACACCCGCGCCACGACCATCGCGTCGCCAACCCGAGCCCAGCACTACCGCAACTGCCCACGAGAGTGACGATGACGATGTGGTGGAGGTCACCACCAGCAACACCACCAATGTGTCCGGCCTGCAGCTTCTCGGCCTACATACGTCTGTCACTACCCTCACGCGCGCCGTCGAACCCAAGAACCCTCGCCATGCTCTGACCGGTCCCCACGCCAAGGAGTGGCGTGCTGCTATGGACGCGGAGCTGCAGGCACTGGAATCACGCGGCACATGGGTCCTGGTCGATCGTGCAGCAGTGAAGGGGAGGAGGGTGCTAAGCGGAAAATGGGTATTCCGTCTCGAAACCAACGCTGACGGCACTATCGAGCGCTTCAAGGCACGCTGGGTCGTACGCGGCTACGACCAGCGCCATGTCATCGACTTTGATCAAACCTTTGCTCCCGTCAGTCGTCACACCTCCGTCAGAATTCTACTTGCCATTGCCGCCGCTAAGCACCTACCACTGCGGCACATCGACGTGAAGAACGTGTTCTTATACGCGTTGGTGGATGCAACCATCTTCGTGGAACAGCCACACACCTACGGGGAAGGAGACCCCAGGGTCTGCCAGCTGAAGAAATCCCTCTACGGGATAAAGCAAGCACCGCGTCTCTGGCAGCAGCATCTGCACTAAATCTCCTGGAGATCGGCTTCAGGCAGCTGCCGCACGACCCGGGAATGTACCGCCTTCACTTTAACGGCGACTACATCCTTCTGACAGTCTACGTCGACGACCTGCTATACACCGGCACCTGCAACAAGCTCCTTAATCAGTTCGAAGAGAACCTGGCGCAGCGCGTTGACATCACCATCAACCACAATGTCACACAGTTTCTGGGGTTAAACATCACCTACACGCCAGAAGCAATTCACCTGTCAGCCTCCAAGTACGCAGAGCAGCTGAGGGAACGCTTCAACATTTCACCCACACCACTCTCAACCCCTTACCGCAACCCCAGCGCCAACTACAAACCGGACAACAAACCACTGTCACCCGCAGGACTCCAAATGTACCAGCAGAAATTGGGGTGCCTGCTGTTTGCCTCTGTCACCTGCCGACCCGACCTTTCGTACATCGCCAGCCAACTGGCAGAGTACTCTCGCAAGCCAGTAGCAGAGAACCAGCTGGATATGGAGCGCGCCCTGCAGTACTTCATTTCCACACCTGACATCGGGCTCTCCTACTCCACACTGACGACAACCTCCTTCAACCTCAACGGCTACGTGGATGCAGATCATGCCGCTGATCCTGCAAATCGACGGTCCCGAACCGGCTTCGTTTTTCGCCTGGAACCAACATGACCAATCTCCTGGAACTCGAAAAAGCAGGAGCTGGTTGCCCTGTCATCGGCCGAAGCAGAATACATCGCCGCGACAGCAGCAGTTCGCGAAGGTCTGTACCTACAGGAGTTACTGCAGGAGGCGAAAATTCCAACTTCGCCCACCTTTCGTCTTCACTGCAACAACCAGAGTGCCATCAAGATTGCGAACAAGCCAGGGTTCGTGAACCGCACAAAGCACATCGCGCTCCGATACTTTTTCGTCAAGGACGAAATTGACCAGGGCAAGGTTGATCTCACGTACTGCCCCACCACCGAGATGGCAGCCGATTTTCTCACCAAGCGACTGCCACGTCAACAGTACAAGCACTGTTCCGACCTCACCGGAGTGGTCAAGCGAGTCAGCCCTCTGCGCACCCAGGAATGAAGGGGAGTGTTACGATATGAAACTTTACGAGAAGGCATTCCTATATGCTGCAGGGATCGACTATAAAGTGTACGAAGCCGAGGAGTCAGAAGAGTCGAAGCGACACTAGGTAACCGTCTGATCAAGACCGATGCAGGCAGAAACATTCGAAGTGAAAAGAGCGGGAACAGGTTTGAAACGGGTTCCCGCGCCGCACGGTTTGAACTTCGCTTTGATAAGGGAATGTACCCCTTAGAGTACATGGCTAGCCTAGGTCGTTTCGTATTCCTTTGTATTTTCTATATAAACTCAATGTATGCATGCTATTATCAATCTCAGTCATTTACATTCACTCTGACCTGAGTTCACTACTTCCACTGCAACATTACCCTGCGATCAACCCTGAGCGATCCTTCGCTAAGTCTCACTTGGGATTGTAACAGATATAAACGATTATCAGCTCTAGGATGTGTTATATTGTTAGTGTGCATTGGAACGAACAGGCGAGGATTGCACTAAAGGGGCGAGAGATGAAAACTGTGAGCGAATGCAACGGTAACGCGAGCCCGCGAGTTAGCTAATGCAATGTTGGCAGCGATGTTCGGGCTAGTCCCAAAGCGTAGGCCGACTTGGCCAATTACAACAGTGCAAGTTCTGGTAAAAAAATGGCAAAGAACGGTCGAGTGCTGTACGCGCTATGTAGGCACGGTGTAAGGATTCCGGGAAATATCCTTACATACTCAATTTTATTGCTCAACTTTATTGTTGTTGTATTTATAACATGTAGTGTTGAAAAGAGTCCTAGATTCTGGATTCTGCTGAACAGTTTCTCAGGTGCTTGCAGCCGCGATTCAGTGCTAGCCTTCCGCCTATCTCCCAGTCCCAGACTGGAAACAGAAATTGTGAACCAGCTGTTGAACGGCTGGGGCTGGTATAAGAGCGTTACCGGGGAAAAAATCTGCTTAGCTTTCAGGCAATGGTATAGGTCAACTTGAGGTGTCATTCCTCTTACACCGCCGATCTTACAGGATCGGCCATCGTAGAGTCCAAAGAATCGGTTCTCCGAATTCCCTGCTTGTGAATCGGTTCGTAGGCAGAAGTGTCCATAGAAGCTCACAGGCGTTTCGCAGACTCCTCCGCCCAGTTCGGGGCGCTGTCTCCTCCAAGGTACTTATACACGGTATAATCTGTTTCACCCAGGTAATACGACATTTGTCCAGGTGAAACAGTCCGGCTTTTTTACCATGTAGGGCTACTGCTGGTGGTTCCGCGGGTACGGGGCGAGTCTGGCGCGCTTATGTTCTTGTTAACGTGGAGACTTGGGTGGCTGGGACGCGCGATGCGATGTTGGTAGTGCTGCTGGGTGCGGAACACTCGGACAGCAGGGTGGGGGGGAAAAGCGCAGGGTAGCAGAGTGGAGGTTTTTGTGAGGTCCCTCATAGTTTATCTGGGTGGGACGCGCAATGCGGCGTTAGCGGTGCTGCTGGGTCGGGGAAGCGGTGGTAAGCGGGGAACGTACTATTTATTTTGTTCGCTTCCTAAAAGCTTCGCACGTGTTCACTATTTTTATGATTTTTTTTCAAACAAAAACGCGGATATTTTTGTCTTTCCTTTTAAGAATGCCCCCCTTTCCTTTCCCCCTATTCCCCACTCTTCCACCATCCCCGCCCCCACTCTTCCAACCCCCTCCCTCCCAGCATGTCCGCCCTTCCCCCCAAGCGATGGCGCGTGGGGGAGAGGGTGGAGGTTTTCCGGCAGGGGGAGGGCCTTCAGGGGGGATGGTTCACCGCCGTACTGCTGGCGGTAGACAGAGGCACGCAGAGGGCTTCAGTGCGGTACGAGGAGACGATGGAGGACGACGGGGTGACCAGGCTGAGTGAACACGTCAGCTTGGATCAGATCCGCCCCGTGCCACCTGGCATAGAGGGAGACGACTCTGCCACGTGGGACGAGGTAGGTGGGAACGGGGAGAGTGGTTTGGAGCATAGGGCGTGGTTCTGACGGCTTTCTAGCTGATATTTCCTAGCTAAGTACTCACTCTCGTTTTCCCTTTCCCCTTTTTCCTCCTTTCCCCCATTCCCGCCCCGTCCTTCTTTTTCCTCCCCCCCTTCGCCTCCCTCCAGGGCCATGCAGTGGAGGCTTGGCACAACAATGCCTGGTGGATCGGCAACATCCGTGGCCAAACCACACCCGGACCTGACTCTCTCGGTGCCACTTCTGGCGCGAGGCTCAATACCGAGGCTGAGGTGCCGGCGTTCGGAGTGTGCTTGCAGGGATCAGAAGAGCAGAAAGCATTTCTGGCCCGTGACCTGCGCACGAGAATGGACTGGCTGCAGGGCGAGTGGATACCTTTCGAGCCTGTACCTGCGGCTGCAGCTGACACAGCGTCTGCGGCTACAGCAGCTGCTGCTTCTGTGAGAGCTGCTGCTGCTGCTGCTGCTGCTGCTGCTCCTGCTGCTGCTGCCGCCGCCGCTGCTGCTTCTAGTGAACCTGGCGCCGTTGTCACTACTGCTGCTGTTACCGATGCAACAGTGGGTGGTGCCAGTGAATCAGCATGTGCTCATGCTGCGTCAGATGCTGTGACAGATGCAACCCATGCTGTGGCTGATGCTGTAACTGCAGCTGCAAGTTATGCTGTAACTGACGCTGCGACTGATGCAGTATCTGAAGCGGTAACTGAAGCTGTGACTGAATCTGCAATTGAAGCTGTGACCGAAGCTGCAACTGATGCAACCGATGGTGCAGCTGGTGACTCATGTGCACTCGGGGGTGATGGAGAAAGGGCTTCAGGGTCCGAGGTTCAGGAGGGGGATGAGGCCCCAAGGGGGGGCGAAACGACGAAATTTGGGGCGCCTCAAAAGGCTATAGAGACAGAAGAGCAGGCGGGGGATGAGGTTGTAATGGGGGAAGGAGCGGGGTCATGCAGGGAAGCAGAGGACGGAGACGACAGGGCAGCAGCAGCAGCTGCAGCATCAGCAGCAGAAGCAGCAGCAGCGGCGTCAGATTTAGAAGCAGTAGCAGCAGAGGACAGAGAAGCAACTTCAGCAGCAGAAGGAAAAGCTGCAGCAGCAGGGGCAGCAGGGGATGAAGAAAGAGGTTCAATATCAGCAGGCTCACCAGCAGCGACCGAACGAGCAGCAGCAGCACCAGGTGTTGGGGAGTGTAGGGGAGAGTGTGGAGGAGAGTGTGGAGGAGAGTGTGGAGGGCCGTGCAGGCAGGGGCAGGGTGGCGTGAAGACGCAGGTTGCTGCTCATGGGGAGAAAGATCAAGGGGAGCAGCTGAACATATCGCATGGGCAGGTGACAGTAGGAAAGGGTGCTGTTATTGAAGGGCGGGCTGGCTCTGTGAGTGTGGGTGATGCTGGTGATTGTAAGGGATGTGGCGGAGGAGGAGTTGTCCGAGGGGATGGTGGAGAGAGGGATGGCGGGGCAGAGACTGAAGTGAACAAGAAGGGTGGGGAGGAGGGTGGAGAGAAGGATAGAGAGGAGGGTGGTAAGCAGGGTAGCGAAGAGGGAGTATATCATACAGGAGGGGAGAATTGTAGGAGGGGTGAGACGGGAGGAGTCGAGAAGGCCACTGGTCTGGCCACGATTCTTGGCAGCTCAGCAGGTTACTGTGCGCGCCTGCTAGGCGCAGTGGGAGGGGAGGAGGTAAGGGAAGGAGTGGAAGAGAATGGAGAAGAGGAGTTTAGGAGAAGGTGTGATGAAAGAGCAGGTGAGGAGGGCACTGGTGTAGCCGCGATCCTTGGCAGCACAGCAGGCATCTTTGTGCGAATGCATGGTGCAGTGGGAGGGGATGGGGTAAGGCAAGGAGTGGAGAAGAAGGGGCCGGGCCAAGGTGGAGGCTTGAAACCAGACAAGGTGGGTGGGCGTGAGTGTTCGGCAGCAGATGACACCTGTCAGGATGCCACCTGTCAGGTTGACACCTGTCAGGATGGCACCTGTCAGAGTAATCCCTGTCAGGATGACCCGTGGGATCTGAGTGCGACAGATGTTGCTGTCAGTGCTGCCACTGCTCCTGCAGTGGTTGTTTACAAGCGGAGGAAGACGGTTCAGGGATGGCTGGGAACGAACCTGGCTCGCAGCAAGGGAGAGTTGCACACACACAAGGGGACACTTGAGGCGGAGAAGAAGGAGATGGAGGTTGAGAGGGGTGGTGGTATGAGATCCGGGAGTGGGGATGGCAAGAGTGCGGTTGGTGGCAAGGTGAGGAAGAGGGAGGGGCTTGCGCGGCAGTGCAAGGGAAAGAGAGGAGGAGAGCAGAGCAAATTAGAGGAAGGTAGAGAAGGAGGAGGAGGGAGAGAAGGTGTTTTAAAGGCCGTCACGCATGCAACAAGCAGCAATCCGCCTTCCACCCCCAATGCCACGTTGAAATCACCTGCTCTATTGAAATCACCTGATCTGCTGAAAACACCTGATCTGCCGAAACCACCTGCTGCGCATCTCACCACACCCGTGGCCTCACGTGCCCTTGGCATGCCAGCAGCGGGCACACCTCCCTTCTGTGTTAGTGCTGTTGCTGTTGGTGCCCCTGCCACCCCTGCCGCGATGCCTGCAACTCCCGTGGTGGCTGGGGAGAATCTGCGAGGGCAGCGGGGGCAGCGGGGGCAACTGCCACGCCAACTGGCAAAGGCAGCTATTGAAGCGCTCCAAGACAGGCGAGGAGAAGGAGGGACGGTTGATGGTGGGAGGAGCAGTGAGGAGGTGGAGGAGGTGGAGGAGGAGGATGTGGAGGAGGAGGAGGTGGAGGAGGTGCGAGAGGAGGGTGTGGGGGAGGAGATGGCAGGTGAGGGAGTGGTGGTGGTGGTGGGAAGTGAGGATGAGGTAGAGGAGGTGGTGGGGGAGGGGGAGATAGGTTGCAGGGTAAGAGGTGGAGTGGCAGAGAAAAGTGCGAGAAAGGGAGAGAAGATGGGGTTGGAGGAGATGGAAGGGAGGAAGCTTATCAAGAGAAATGATGAGACGTACGATGTTATTGATGGTGACAGTGGTGGTGATGATGATGCTGGGGATGGAAGCGATGATGCAGATGCTTATGATGATGAAGGTGATGATGATGTGGTGGAGGTGGTGGGGGAGGAGGAGTGTGTGAGCATAGTTCGGCAGGGAGCAGCAGCAGCAGCAGCAGCCACAGCCACAGTGACCTCGCCATCTGCTCTCACCACTGCAGCAGGCCGAGCCAGTGTTATTGGACACGGACATGGCTCAGCAGGGCTTACAGAAAAGGCACATGCAAGAGCACATGTGAGCTCACATACAGGTCTTACTGAGGCGTATATGGCAGCACACACACGAGCACATGCACCCCATGCCCCAGTAACTCCTGCGAATGCTGGTAACCGTGTTACCTCATCAGCGCGGGTAACCAGCACTCCATCAGGCCAGCTGTTGTGCTCGGAGCAGCACATAGGCGGAGTGAAGCGGCAACGTTTCTTCGGCTCCTGGCACCGCCAGGACCCTCTCTTCCAAGACACTCACACCCACACAGGGAGAGAGGGCCTTGCGGGGATGGAGGGCGTTGCAGCGCCAAGGATAGTCCACCACGCCAGCTCTGGTGCTGTTGAGGTGAACGAGCAGTATAGGTTGTCGACTGGATCGCTCTATAGCGAGGATACAGCGGGTTTGGTGCATGGGAAGGGGAGAGGGGGCAGGGGAGTGGAGGCTGTGGCAGAGGCTGCGTATGGGGGGGTGCTGGATGCACTGTGGGTGCAGGGAGGAGGGGAGGGGATCACGTGGGATAAGGAGGTTCTGCTTACAGACCTGCGCAGGGCTTTAAGTATTTCGAATGACCAGCACTCTCGGCTTCTTGCTGCTCTGCTTTCGCGGAGTGAGGTGCGAGACGCTAGCTGGTGATTGCGTTTGAGGTGTCTCTGATGAAAGAATTGCTTTCCCATACTGGCACTTGTGTGCATGTGCTGCTCTGCTATCAGAAGTGGGGCTGTGTGCGTGTGAATTTGCAGCTAATGATGCAGGCACCGGTAGTGAGCTCAGGCTCCGGAAGCAGCCAAGTTTTGTAATCAGGGGCTCGTACATAAATTCTCATCAAGAAAAACAAAAATAATAATAAATCCATGATATTTGTTAGGTACCTATCTTATCGTAGTGAAGCTGTTGTTGAGGGTCGGTGATGGTAGGTCTATGGAAAATAATGTCTTGAGCCTTTTCTTTCCACGTGTCTAGATTGGATTGTCGCTCGAACCTTGGCCCTCGAGTTCTTTTCCTCGCCCACGAACCGTTGGGCCTTACACAAACCGCCACGTGCGGCCGCCTCCCTGTCAATTGGTCAAATTCCTCTACTGCCACCGCGCTGACGTGTCACTAACAAACTCTATCTGTGCGATCCACCAAGAAATCTTTGCGGGCGAGTGTGTCAGAACAAAAAGACCCGCGAAACGAACCTCGGAAACTCCGAACGGTGCACCCCTCCGCCTGCAAGTTCCTCCTCTATCTTCTTCCCCCAGGTTGCCCTCCGCGAACTCCCCGCCCCCACCCCAGGGCTCCCCAGGGAACCTCGTTGGTTGAGGTTTGCTTCGATGAGTTCGAGAGGAGTCCCTTGTCGCGGAAGTCGTGCCTCACCGTTGAAGTGGATACAGCGAACGAAGTCATGCGAGACTTTCGATCCACAAATGTTTCGCGCATACTAGCCCAAACAGCTTCGCGAAATAAAGTCACAACCTCGAAAGGAATCGCAAAGCCATCGTGAACGACACAGATTGTTTGGAGTGAATCTCCAGGACCTACACCTGCTCGACTCACTCCCCCAGACAGACACGCGTTGTCCTAGATATCATCCCCTTCCCTGCCACAATTTTCTTTTTTCCCAGATTCACAGTTCATTTATTGCTGATCTGCCTGATAGTCTCGTTTGGTTTTGTCCAGGGGGTGGAGGCCACTCGTCTCTCGGTGCGTAGCATATTCGTCGCGCTTTGATCCGACGAATTTTATATGTGGTTGTTTAGCAATCGTCTGACACAACCGATCCTGTAATCCTCGTCCTACTCCGTTTACTAGCGTTACTTCGTCCGATCTCCGTTGAGTCAGCGTTTTCACGTACAATACTTAATATAGCTAATGCACTTTCTTTCCTTCAGGAAGGGTCCTCGTCCGCATTCTCTTATTGCCGGGGAGCCTTCACGCACATGACGATATGATGAGCATCTGATGCAGCTGCTTCAATCCTTTCCTCGGGCCCTCTCTGCGGGCGATCAGTCATGGTTCGTTTCTTTCCTCATCCGTCGCCTGTGTCCTCACTACGAGCTTGCTCCGTCTTTTTTGTCATAATCTTTCGGCTTTGGATCAGGGTTAACTAGTAATTTACAGAGACGCTGCTGCGTTGAATGAATTTGCAAAGAGTGTCTGCTCGATGCGTCAGTCGCTTGAGTTTGTCGTGTTCCTTCGTGTGTCCATACGAGTTCTTTTCGTCGATCAGAGTTCTGCATCCTGTCCGTCAAGATTTATGTATTGCTGCTGAAGGAGGCAGCAAAGTGAAGCAGAAGCATTTTGATTCCACTTTTCTTTTTCGCATTAGGTCGGGTCTATGCTCGATTGAGCTTGGCTGTGTGCTCCTCATGCAGATTGTGCATGTCTGTTCGTATCAGATTGTGTGTGTTTCAATCATGTGTTTAATCCGTGACAGCTTCATCTGTCAACCGTATCGTCGCGTCATTGGAGCAGCCACATTTTTTCCGTGTCAGCTTTTGTTTGCTCGGACACAGACATTTCATCCATTCCTTGATATGGAATTCTCTGATCAATCGTTCGCATGATAAATTGTTGTCACCACCACTCGCATGTTCTCCCACTGCTTCCTCAACTGCATTTTTTTTTTTCGGTTTTTTCGAAATACCCCAACAGGCGTGCATGAGTGGCGTAGCACCGCTGGCAGCAGCATCAGCACCAGCATCAGTCTCAGTATCAGCATCAGCATCAGCAAACCCAACATCCTCCCTTTGCGTCCGCCCGAAACCTCCTTCGCACTCTCTCACCACCACCGCATTCCGCTCGCTCTCCACCACCTCCGCCACCGCTACCACAGCAGCAACGGCAGCCAAATCCAGCCGTCTGCTGTACACGTTCCGTCCGTCCTCGCCCCCTAGGCAGCGCTCCCCTCCCCGCCTTCCCACGGCTGCTGCTGCTGCTCTGTACAGCGCAGGGCATGCCCTGGACGGCTCCCCTCGTCTCCGATCAGCAGCTGCTGCCTCTGCTGCCGGCCGCAGCCTGTTCCTGGGACAGAGGTGATACGCGGCTCATGCATTTGTTGCTCAGTTATTAATTTTCGAAAATCCGCTTTGCGCAGTGTGACGCTTTAACTGGTCATTGTCCGCGTTGTACGCGCTGCCTGCAATCCCGTGCTGTGTGAATTCCCTACTTTGTTTTAGAATACGTGACAACAGGTGTCGTGTAGTGCGTGTGCTGGCTGTTAATGCCAAGTCTGTTCCTTCCTTTCTTTCTTTCCTTCTTTGTGCATGGGACACATTCCTCTTTCCGCGACACGGATCTGCGTGGACCACACATTGTCAGGAGCTTGATCCTGGGTCAGCCTGGGAGAAGATCTCCACCCACGTTGGACTTTAGAAGGCTTCGAATTGCAAACGAGGTAACGTCTCCGTCATCAAGTTGCTCTAGCTGAATGTATGCCGTCTTGGGACGACTTTTGAGGTGCCTAGAAAAATATCAGATTCATTCGATGCTGTCACTGTCACTGAACCTGATGACAGTGAGGTGACTGACCATGCGGCCCGATCAGGCGCGGCGTTAAGCCCCGTCGCATCCTTTTTTCCCCTCTCAGATGGTCGAATTCCCTCCGAAGACCCGTTACTCTCATCGCGTTGCTGCCTCCCTCACCCTCCCCTCCCCTCCCCTCCCCTCCCCTCCCCTCCCCTCTCCTCCCCTCCCACCAGGCGGGACCAGCAGAGAGCGCGACATCGGACGGCAATGGCACTGCGGTGAGCCCCGCTGCGTCCTCCGAGGACACCATTCAGGCGCTCCAGGCGTCCCTCGCCGCCGCAGAGGAGGCCGCAGCCAGCGCGCTGCAAGCCAAGGAGCTCGCTCTAGAGGCAGTAACCGTGGCAGAATCGAAGGTCGAAGCCATGTCCGCTCAGATGGTCCTGACTACCGAAGAGGCGGTTAACGAAGTAGAGGCGGCTAAGGAGAAGTTCAAAGAGGAGGTGGCGAGGCTGCAGCGGGAGAAGGAGGAGGTGGAGCAGCAGCTGGCGCAGGCGAAGCAGGAGGGGATTGATCTCGCGATGAAGGTGGAGCAGATGGCGGCGCTGGCCGTGCAGGAGCAGACCCAGGCTGTGGCGGAAGACGCGCGGCTTAAGATCGCGGCGGCTAAGGCGGAGGCGGCGGATCTGGCCGCGCAGATGGAGGAGAGGATCAGGCTTGCTGCGGATGAGGCCGCTGCTGCTGGTAGGCCTTGGCATGCTTGCGTGTTGTCTGTATGCGACGTGTGGCTTGAGTAGGTTCAAATAGCTGCAAGATTCTTATTCTCCACCCTCTCCTGGCTTCTGCGGCTCATGTCAACTGATCCTTCCCTATTCCGCTGTGCCCTCTACCTCGGCTGTCCTGCTCCTCTTCCGCCTTTTTTCTCCCCCTCCGTCCGCCTCTGTCCCTGCCCCTGCCCCTCCCCGTGCCCCTCCCCCTGCACCCCCCCTGCCCCTCCCCCTGCTCCTCCCCTTGCCCCTCCCCCGTGTCCCTCCCCCTGCCCCTCCCGCTGCCCCTCCCCCTGTCCCTGCCCCTGCCTGCCCCTACCTCCCTCCGTCCCCTTTTCGCGCTGCCAGTGATCGAGGAGGCGAAGGCGACGATAGAGGACGCGATAGCAGCGGCGGACATAGCCAAGGAGCAGGCGCGGTCGGCGGAGGCGGCGCTGCAGGAGCGGCTGGACGTGCTGGACCGCCTGGGGCACGCGGAGGTGGCGCTCATGCGCTCCGAGGAAACTTCTGAGTCGACTCACAAGTCATCTCTCAGCTTCTCTCTCCTCCCCCCCCCCCGCCCCTGCCCCTGTCCCTGTCCCTCCCTCCGCCCCTCTCCCCTGCCAGTGATCGAGGAGGCGAAGGCGACGATAGAGGACGCGATAGCAGCGGCGGACATAGCCAAGGAGCAGGCGCGATCGGCGGAGGCGGCGCTGCAGGAGCGGCTGGACGTGCTGGACCGCCTGGGGCACGCGGAGGTGGCGCTCATGCGCTCCGAGGAGACTTCTCAGTCGACTCTCAAGTCATCCCCCGGTTTCTCTCTCCTCCCTCCCCCCGCCCCTGCCCGTGCCCGTGCCCCTGTCCCTGTCCCTGTCCCTCCGCCCCTGCCCCTGACCGTCTCCTCTGCCAGTGATCGAGGAGGCGAAGGCAACCATAGAGGACGCGATAGCAGCGGCGGACATAGCCAAGGAGCAGGCGCGGTCGGCAGAGGCGGCGCTGCAGGAGCGGCTGGACGTGCTGGACCGCCTGGGGCACGCGGAGGTGGAGCTCATGCGCTCCGAGGAGCAGCGCTCGGCGCTGCAGCTGAAGCTGGAGCAGGCGGAGAGCGAGAAGGAGACTCTGCGCATGGAGATCAAGGTGGGCGGGGAGAAAGGGCCGAGGTTCTGGGGTTTTGGGCGAGGGAAAGGGGCTGGTCTGGGTTTCAAGATGGGAGTTTGAGCGTTGCTGAGGCAGCTGCTGAGTGATCTCGAGTCACCTCGATTGTGCACACTTACTCCCCTTGTTAACGACCTTCTCTCTCAACCTGGTTTGAGGCGACCTTCCTCCCCCATACACCTGTACCCACTCATGTTCAGGCGGCCATAGCGCGTGCGGAAGCAGCGGAGTCGCGCATAGTGTCGACGCAGGCAGCAGTGGCGGAGATCCAGGCGCTGGCGGAGAGGACGGCCAAGGAGAGAGAGGAGGGCACTGAGAGGGCGCTGGAGGCCATGCGGGTGAGTTTTCATGCGGGTGGGTTGACAGGGAGGATGGATTGACACGCGGGTGAGTGAACACGCGGGCGGGTGCGGCACGGGTGGGGTGCGGGTGTGTGTTTGTGTGTGTGTGGTATGCTGGTGAGTTGGGGGTGGGTGTATGCTCGATTGTGTCAGAATTGGTATGCCCGCCCCCTCTGTCCCCTGTACCACTCTCGCCCTTTTTGCCCTCCTCCACCTCCACCCCCTTGCACATCCTCCTCATTCTCAGCTGGCCTTGGAGGGCAGGGAGAAGGCAGCAGCACTGGCGAAGACGGTAAGTCTTTGTCAAGTCACGTATTTCTGCTTCCCCTACTTCCCACTCCCAATATCCCCAAAATGTTCAGCTGTCATCAGAGGGCAGGGAGAAGGCGGCAGCGCTGGCATACAAGGTGGAGACGGAGAGTCCGTTCGAGCTCATATACGCTTTGTGCCCTGTGTCCCCTCTTCCTTTCACAACCTCCGCGTTCTCAGCTGGCTTCAGAGGGCAGGGAGAAGGCGGCAGCGCTGGCGTACAAGGTGGAGACGGAGAGTCCGTTCGAGCTCATATACGCTCTGTACCCTGTGTCCCCTCTTCCTTTCACAACCTCCGCGTTCTCAGCTGGCCGCAGAGGGCAGGGAGAAGGCGGCAGCGCTGGCGTACAAGGCGGAGACGGAGAGTCTGAGGGCGGCAGCCATGGCGGCACAGAAGGCGGACAAGGTCAAGGACCAGGCCGTGGCCCGCCGCTTTGCCGCGCTGCAGAGGAGCCTGGCGGCGGCGGAGGAGAGCACGAGGAAGTGGAGGGAGCGGTGCCTGGCAGTGGAGGAGCTGTTTGCTCTGGTGAGTCTTGCCTACATGACCTGCTCTTCCCAGCGTGCCTTCCGCACGCCGCTTTGCCGCGCTGCAGAGGAGCCTGGCGGCGGCGGAGGAGAGCACGAGGAAGTGGAGGGAACGGTGCCTGGCAGTGGAGGAGCTGTTTGCTCTGGTGAGTCTTGCCTACATGACCTGCTCTTCCCAGCGTGCCTTCCGCACGCCGCTTTGCGGCGCTGCAGAGGAGCCTGGCGGCTGCGGAGGAGAGCACAAGGAAGTGGAGGGAACGGTGCTTGGCAGTGGAGGAGCTGTTTGCCCTGGTGAGTTGCACTGCTGTCTACCTGTTCAGGTTTTGATGCGCTTTGCGACTGCGCTGCAGAGGAGCCTGGCGGCTGCAGAGGAGAGCACGCGGAAGTGGAGGGAACGGTGCCTGGCAATGGAGTAGCTGTTTGCGCTGGTGAGTCTTGCCTTGTATCTGCTGATTTCCCTTGATTAGCTGCTGATCCTTGCGTTCTTGAGTCGAGTGTTCACTTGACACGCCATGATATTGAGGCCGCAGGAGAGGTGCTGTGATTTCCAAACGCTGTCCCTCATTTCCTTCTCTCCGTCTCCTGAGCCAAATCATGTGGGTTTGATGCGATGCAGGACTCCTTCGCTGCTGCTGCTGACAGCCCAGGCCCAAGGGGCTCAAAGCGTTCCAATACCACACCCACCTTGCCCTTCCCCCTGTTCTCCCTTCCCCTCGCCCCCTCTCAGGCTAAATCGCGTGGGATGGATGCTGTAAAGAATACCACCTCCTCGCCTGCTGCTGCCGCTGCTGTTCCTGCTGCTGCTGCGGCTGCACCTGTGGAGGCGGAGGTGGGGGAGGAGGTGGGGGAGGCGGTGGGGCGAGGGCGCATGGACGTGATGCTGGGGACGCAGTCGGAGAAGTGGCGCATTCTGGCGGACGGGCCCAGGAGGGAGCGCTCCGAGTGGCTGCAGCGCAAGACGCTCACCACCACGCCGCTGCCGTCACTGCCCGTCTCTGTGGGGCTGGAGAATGTTCAGGCGGCCGTACCGCTGCAGCTGCCCACCCCTGACGATGTGTGGTCCATCGCCCTGCACAAGGTGAGATCAAATTGTAGTCCATATCCCTTCAAAAGGTGATCTATAATGGAGTTGCCTCAACTGAACACCAGTCAACTGCATTGGACGCCCGGTGGTGGACGACAAGGTCTCCAAGGAGGCAGATTCAAGGGAAATGGAGAGCACAAGGAGCCGCTCTCCACCTCTCTCTCTCAAGTAGTCCTTCATTGATTTGGCAATGCCGTTCTCTCTCCACCTCTCTCTCCACCTCTCTCTCTCTCTCTCCCGTGTTCCCTCCTTCCTAGCCAATGCCTTGATGCCTCTCTCCCCCCCTGCTCACCGGCAGGTGGCGGACGACAAGTTCACCAAGGAGAAGCGCAAGATGTTGTTTCCCCAACTCTCTCCCCTGTCCCCGTTGTGCCTTGATGCCTCTCTCCCCCCCTGCTCACCGGCAGGTGGCGGACGACAAGTTCATCAAGGAGGCGGAAGCACGCGAGGCGGAGGCGAAGGAGATAGAGGAGAAGCGCAAGGAGCTGGTTCCCAATTCTCTTCCCTGTCCCCCCTGTGCCTTGACGCTTTCCTCCCCCTTTGCCCAACCCCAGGTGGCGGACGACAAGTTCACCAAGGAGGCGGAGGCACGCGAGGCGGAGGCGAAGGAGATCGAGGAGAAGCGCAAGGAGCTGGAGCGCGCCCTGCAGCGCAAGGCACCCAAACGCATCCGCTCGCCCGAGGAGCTGGAGGAGAGCAAAGGTGAGTGATGTGGGGGAGAGAAAGGGAGGAGGGGCAGGGGTATGAGGAGGGGATAGCCAGGGCACGGATAGTGGGGAGGGGAGAGCATAAGGGCAGGGATAGGAGGGAAGGGGTATGAGGATGGAAGGTGGGGAGGAATTGAGGGTGCAAGAGTGTGGGCGTTGTGGGGAAGCCATTGTTTCGATTTCCTCTCCTCCTCGTTCCTTCCTTCTTTCCGTCCCATCCCTCGTCTCCCCATCTTTCCCTCCTTTGCCGTCCACTCTCCTCCCTCTTTCCCTCCCTCCCTCCCTCCCTCCCTCCCTCCCTCCCTCATTCACAACCACTCACACTCACACCCTTGTTGCTTTCCCGTTTTCACACTTCTTTCCTTGCGCACCTTCGTCACGCCTATCATCCACATCCGTCCCTTGTCTTCCCCGCTGAGCCCCAATGCCTTTCCTCTCTGATGTGCCGCAACCCAATTTCTCGCCCGCCCGATTTCTCAGAGTCTGGCACAGGAAGCGGCCGCGAGGTTGTGGTAAGCTATTATCCTTCGTTTTCTGCTTTGAAGAAGGGTGGGGATGGGTTAGGGGGGGGTGGCGGGGAAGGGGAAGGGGAAGGGGAAGGGGGAGGAGGGGATGAGTGGACTGTGGTTGGCAGCACTGGTTTGCTATCTATCGTCCTTTTGACTGAGCAGCAAGGTCGTGCTGAGCAATCTTTGAATGAGGGTACATTGAACAAGAGTGACTGGTACCTGGAGCTTGCCCCCCCTCACCCCTCCACGCTCCCCCATATCCCTCCCCACCCCTCGTCACCCCTCCACACCGCCCTGCAGATCCAGGCATTCAACTGGGAGAGCAACAAGCGTGACTGGTACCTGGAGCTCGCCCCCAGAGCCGCTGACCTGGCTGCTTGCGGCGTTACGGCCGTGTGGCTGCCTCCTCCCACTGAGTCGGTGTCGCCCCAAGGTGTGTGCCGGTCGTTATGGGTGGTGAGTGGTGGTCAGGGGTGGTTAGTGGTGGGGGGTGCACTGCACTGGGTGGTGGTACTGGGTGGAGCTCGCCCCCAGAGCTGCTGACCTGGCAGCCTGCAGCATCACGGCCCTGTGGCTGCCTCCCCCCATGGAATCATTGTCTCCCCAAGGTGTGTGCCGGTGGTGGGGAGTGGATAGTGTGGGAGGTGGTCAGTGGTGCCCGGTGGTGCGAAGGGGTGGTCAGCGGTGGGTGGTGCACTGCACTGTAAGTGCTGGGTGGTCGGTGCTGGGTGGAGCTTTTCCCCAGAGCTGCTAACATGGCTGCCTGCGGCATCAGAGCTGTGATGCGTGCAGGGTAGATGCCCATGGATGACATGGCTGTAGATGCCCATGGATGACATGGCTGTAGATGCCCATGGATGACATGGCTGTAGATGCCCATGGATGACATGGCTGTAGATGCCCATGGATGACATGGCTGTAGATGCCCATGGATGACATGGCTGTAGATGCCCATGGATGACATGGCTGCAGGATCTTTTGAGTCGACTCACAAGTCATCTCTGCTAACATGGCTGCCTGCGGCATCAGAGCTGTGATGCGTGCAGGGTAGATGCCATGTGATCATGCAGGATCACATGAGGCTGCAGGATCTGTACAACCTCAACTTGTGCCACCTTCTTACAAACGTCACCTCCTTTGACCCCCACCTTACCACTTCCCCTCCCACACCACCCCTCCCAAACCCCCACTCCCCTTTCCACCCCTCACCCCCTGTGCGGTGCTGCAGGGTACATGCCGGTGGACCTGTACAACCTCAACTCGTGCTACGGCACCAAGGAGCAGCTGCAGTACTGCATCGACGAGCTGCACAACCACGACCTCCTCGTACGTTCTCCCTGCCTTCCCACTAGTGCCTTCTCACTAGTATCGTCCTACCTGTCAAGTACTCGTTCATGCTACGGCACCAAGGAGCAGCTGCAGTACTGCATCGACGAGCTGCACAACCACGACCTCCTCGTACGTGAATGTGCTCTCCCTGCCTTTCAAGTACTCTTTTCTCGCCTGGAATCGTCTCCCCCTCTCTGTTCTTTGCACCGTCCACTCTCACAGCATCCCACCATATTGCCCCGTACTGACTTGGCTCCCTGCCCAAATCACCCCCGCACGCCCCTGTAGACCAGGCGCTGGGAGACGTGGTGCTGAACCACCGCTGTGCATCTAACCAGAGACGTGTCTCTCCCTCACTTTCCTCTCCCTCCCTTCCCCCCCCCTCTCCCCTTCCCCCTTGCCCCTCTCCGTTTCTCACCACACGCACACCAGGTGCTGGGATGGGAGACGTGGTGCTGAACCACCGCTGTGCATCTAAGCAGATCCCCTTCCTCTCCTCTCGCTCTTACCCATTATCTCCCCTTCCCCCCCTCTCTTCGTCACCAGGTGCTGGGAGGCGTGGTGCTGAACCATCGCTGTGCCTCCAAGCAGAGCTTCTCACCTCCTGTTCTTCTCCCTCACCTCCCACTCCCCGCTCCCTTCTAACCCATCCGCTACACACACACAAACACCAGGTGCTGGGAGACGTTGTGCTGACCACCGCTGTGCGTCCAAGCAGGGCCCCTTACTCACCTCCCACTCCCTCCCCTATCTCCTGCTGCCTTCCTCGTTTTACCGCTCCACACACACACGCACACACCAGGTGCTGGGAGACGTGGTGCTGAACCACCGCTGTGCGTCCAAGCAGAGCCCCTTACTCACCTCCAACTCCCTCCCCCATCTCCTGCTGCCTTCCTCGTTTTACCGCTCCACACACACACGCACACACCAGGTGCTGGGAGACGTGGTGCTGAACCACCGCTGTGCGTCCAAGCAGAGCCCCTTACTCACCTCCCACTCCCTCCCCCATCTCCTGCTGCCTTCCTCGTTTTACCGCTCCACACACACACGCACACACCAGGTGCTGGGAGACGTGGTGCTGAACCACCGCTGTGCGTCCAAGCAGAGCCCAGAGGGCATTTGGAACATCTTTGGCGGCAAGCTGGCGTGGGGCCCGGATGCCATTGTCCGGGACGACCCCAACTTCAACGGCCGCGGCAACCCCAGCAGTGGTGAGCATGAGACAAAAGTGTGTGCGGTGGTGAGAATGAGCGGCGTGTATTGGGGGGCAAGCATGGCAAGCTGGCGTGGGGCCCGGATGCCATTGTCCGGGACGACCCCAACTTCCACGGCCGGGGCAACCCCAGCAGTGGTGAGCATGAGACAAAAGTGTGTGCGGTGGTGAGAATGAGCGGCGTGTATTGGGGGGCAAGCATGGCAAGCTGGCGTGGGGCCCGGATGCCATTGTCCGGGACGACCCCAACTTCCACGGCCGGGGCAACCCCAGCAGTGGTGAGCAGAGAGTGCAGCAAGGGCCGGTTCAGTGGTGGGAATGAGCAGGAATGCGTGCAGTGGTGGGAATGAGGGATGTGAGGGCGGGCATGGCAAGCTGGCGTGGGGCCCGGATGCCATTGTGAGGGACGACCCTAACTTCCATGGCCGGGGCAAGCAACCCCAGCAGTGGTGAGCTCAGGCCACAGCAAAGGCTGGTTCGGTGAGCACGGGAGCTGGTTCAGTGAGCACGGGAGCTGGTTCAGTGGTGGGAATGAGTGAGAGTGACGTCTAATTCCAGGTGCCAATTTCCACGCGTCGACTCAAATAAAATTTCTTCCTGCCCCTTCTTCCCCTCTCCCTTCTTCCCCCGCTCCCCCTTACCCTCCCCTTTACCCCGAACCTCACCCCCCCTCCATATCAAACCCCAGGCGACATATTCCACGCGGCGCCCAACATCGATCACTCGCAGGACTTTGTGGGGAAGGACATCTGCGAATGGCCGCTGTCTTCCTGGCCCTCTCCCCTTCCTTTCCCCTTGCCCATGCCCTTCCCGATTCCCTTCCCCCCCCCCCCCCTTCCCATCTCCTTCCCCTTTCCCTCTTCCCCTCCACTCTCTCCTTGTGTAACCCCAGGCGACATATTCCACGCGGCGCCCAACATCGATCACTCGCAGGACTTCGTGCGGAAGGACATCTGCGAGTGGCTGCGCTGGCTGCGCGCCGATGTTGGCTACGATGGCTGGCGCCTGGACTTCGCCCGGTGAGAAAAGGGGGGTCTAGGAGTCCAGGGGCGGTTATGGGCCGTGCCTGTGTGGCAATAAGCGTTTGAGAGGGCACGGGGGTATGCCTGTGTGGCTACGATGGCTGGCGCCTGGACTTCGCCTGGTGAGAGCAGGAGGGGGGTTGTGAGTCCAGGGCGTACCAAGGGCATTGGCCGCACGGGGGTATGCCTTTGTGGCTGCGCTGGCTGCGCGCCGACGTGGGCTACGATGGCTGGCGCCTGGACTTCGCCCGGTGAGAGCACAAGGGGGGCTGGCTGTGAGTCCAAGGGTTTATGGGGGCTGTGATTGTATTTCAGTAAGCGTGAGGGGTGCAAGAGGCGTCTAGACATTCATCTGACTGATCCCTTGTCCCCCTTGTCGCAGTGGGTTCTGGGGCGGGTATGTGAAGGAGTACATTGAGGCGTCGAGAATGCATGAATTTCAAACCCGAATTTCTCTGACTGATCCCTTGTCACCCGTCTCGCAGTGGGTTCTGGGGCGGGTATGTGAAGGAGTACATTGAGGCGTCGAGCCCCGCGTTCTGCATCGGGGAGTACTGGGACAGCCTCAGCTACGAGGGCGGCACCGTCTCCTACAACCAGAGTGAGTGCCCTGACCGCCAAACTGTCAAAATGTTTGTATTAGTCGACCCGTAAGCTCCTCAAGTTGCTTGTATCAACCCTCAATATCTAGGTAGCTTCTAATGGCGTACGTAACCCCACCCCCTTCCGCCATTCCCTTTTTGATCTCAGATGCTCACAGGCAGCAAATTATCAACTGGATCAACGCCACTGGAGGCACCTCCTCTGCATATATCACCTTCAACTGCCCATCCTTTGTCCTATTCCCCCCTCCCCCCTTCCCCCTTCCCCCTGCCTCTTTCTCCCTTGGATCTCAGATGCGCACAGGCAGCGCATCATCAACTGGATCAACGCCACTGGAGGCACCTCCTCTGCCTTTGACGTCACCACCAAGGTGTGTTGAAACCTGCTGGTGGTTACTATTACCTCGTGTTTCTGTCTTGTCAACAGTGTGACATCTTTGCAATACCAGAGAATGTGATGTCCCTGCTCCCGTTCCCTCCCTCCCTCTTCCTCCTGCCCCCTCCATCCATCCGCCCATCCATCTAACCAGTTTGTTCTCCTACCATGAACCCCCCCCCCCCCCCCCCTCCCCTAATCTGCACCCCCCTCATACCTCTCCTCTCACACCTCCCCCACAGGGCATTCTGCACGCAGCACTGCACAACGAGTATTGGCGGCTGATCGACCCACAGGGCAAGCCCCCGGGCGTCATGGGGTGGTGGCCGTCTCGAGCCGTCACCTTCCTTGAGAACCACGACACTGGTTCCACTCAGGTACCCCTGCTTGTGACTGCGGTGTTTCCTCCTCTTGTCAGGGCTTAAGCTCTGACTCGCTGTAGTTCATTGCAAGGGACTCAAGCTTTCCAGTGTTTGTTGCCGAGATTATATACAAGGAAAACGCCTTTCGCAAAGATTTAAACTCTCAGAACTGCTTTACTGCTGTACTTCTCTCCCTCCCTGTGTTCTGTCTGCAGGGCCACTGGCCGTTTCCACGTGAAAAGCTCCTGCAGGGATACGCCTACATCCTCTCCCATCCTGGCACGGTAAGCCACCGATTCCCTTTCTTTGATGTCATCCCTGCACGCACACGTCATGCGCGCAACCATGCATACGAAAGGTCTTATTTACCCATACCCACATACCTGGTTGCCTGATGTTGCCTGTGTTCTTGGTCCCTGTCAACGCACCTGCAGCCGGTGGTGTTCTATGACCACCTGTACGAGTTCGGCATCCACGATCAGATCGCCGAGCTGATCGCCGCCCGGAAGCACGCGGGTGTGCACTGCCGGTCGCCAGTGAAGATCTTCCATGCAGTGGCGCAGGGGTATGTGGCGCAGGTTGGGGATAACCTGGTGGTGAAGCTGGGCCACTTTGACTGGAACCCGTCCCGGCAGAACGATCTGATGGGACGGTGGGAGAAGTTTGTCGACAAGGGGAATGATTACATTCTCTGGGAGAAAACGGGTTTGTGAGCTGTTGAATCGCGAGAGCTTGGGTTCTGGAGAACATGTTGTGGAAGTATTGTACGGTAGTCTGGGGAGGCTTGACGAATCAACAGGTTTCTGACTTCAGTATGAATTAACAATCCATTGGGTATGACTATTGTAGCCTAAAGTTAGGCGCTGCTGAGAATGACAAATGGGTAAGACAAATGGGTTGAACCTGCCACAATCATATAATCCATTCCTCGTGAGCAAACACTGTCAGTGAAAACACTCGTACGAGTGCGGGCTAACCTATGCACGGGTACGGAAGTTGCACTTGATTGGATATCGTATGGGAACAGCCGAGTCTCTTTCACCAATCCGTGTTCTCCAGCGCCACTTCGTGATTGCAATTGGCCCGTCGTGTCCACGTGGGGACTGATGCAAGTAGAAGCTGTGGCCAGACACATGGCCAAACATCGCTGCCTGCTCCCTTTCACAAGCCCATACCAGAACAGACCGTGTGCATACTTCACTTTCTTCATTCCCATGTACACATTCAACAAGCAGGACATTCGTCCAACCATTAGCATGGCATCTCCAGGCACCATACTTCAGTTACCTCCCCCAATCCTGAAAGCTGGCTAGTGGGATTGGAGTTATGCTTGCTGTCGACTGTAATTACTCGTTTGACAGATCGCGTTGCAGCAGATTTGGAGTTCCAACAACCATCCTTGCCCATGGTGTAAGAATCAACGATTGTTAAGAGAATAGTCGAACTGATCGTCGGTGTCTAAGGCAGGCTTCTTGTTTGCGAAACAGGTCACTTATTGAGAAGACTGAGAATGGTCGAGGTTCCTTACCAACCGAAAGCACCCCTTTGTTGCCAGCTAAGGCACAAGATATCCCAAGTCACGCCTCGCTTGACCAGAATGGAGAATCTGAAGGGATTTCTCATGGACATCCCGGAAGCACCCTGGGATCTGCCATATTCAACCTCTCCAATACCATCATTGGTGCCGGAATCATGGGACTTCCAGCAACCATAAAGGTTCTCACTGGCCTGTGACGAAATCCTTATCAGATTAAAGTTTGTCTAGGCAATTCAACAATTTAGCTGGTTGTCTGACTTTGTCAAACCCGTGAATGGCAGGTACTGGGAATTCCTCTTGGTCTGACAGTGCTGGCCATAATGGGAGTAGTGAATGAATACTCACTTCAGCGGATTCTCAGAAGCACAACTGCAGCTAAAGCGTGGTCCTTTGGCGATCTCATGGCTACTACGTATGGAAGAGTTGGAAGATTTTTGCTCCGAACGAGCATCTTTGTCAATAACACTGGCATCCTCGTCATCTACCTTGTCATCATAGGTCCGCCGCATCTTTTTTAAGTAATGAATTATTGTCAGTTGCTTATTCCCCCATCCGTTTTCTTACAAATATAATGTGTCTTCGCCTTTCTCTATCCCTTGGTCAGGGGATGTGCTGTCTGGTTCGGACGGCGCAGATGGAGAGCATTACTCAGGGTTACTCGAGGAGTGGGCTGGAGGTCCCGCGTGGTGGAACAGCCGTCTCACCGTGCTCCTCACCTCCATTGTCACTGCTATTGGGCCTCTTTCCGCCCTTCCAGACATAGGTTTGTCCAGTTTGATTCATCCCAGAGACACTCGGGAATCAGTAGGCTCATTGTTTTGTTCGTGCAACTTACGTTGCACCCCCCAAAATGATATGCAGATTCCCTCTGGTTCACATCAGGACTGTCAGTCCTGCTAGCAGTTGCTTTTGTCATCATCACCATCCTCGTTACTTTGTACAAGCTTGTTGAAGGGACCATTGATTGGTCTGGAGTGCACTGGCTTCCTCAGCTGAACACTTCGCAGGACTACTGGCACCTCCTCTCTGTCATCCCCACCATGGCGACTGCCTTCACGTGCCATTACAACAGTGAGGGTTCTCTTTATTTCTGGAAAAAAAAAAGGATTCCTCACATGCCATGTTTGCTTTTCCTTTCCATCAGCTCTAACATGCTTACCGTTTTTCCCCCTTGTTCAGTGCATCCTATTCTGGTGGAGCTCAAGGCACCTCGAGAAGAAAAGATGCAGACTGCAATACGAAAGACATTCCTTGTTTGCACAAGTATATACACTGTGACAGCTCTTTTTGGCTACCTCCTTTTCGGTGAAGCGACCTATGCTGACGTCCTTGCAAACTTCGACTCTGATCTTGGGATTCCTGGAAGCCGCTACTTGAATGACATTGTCCGGCTATTCTATGCGCTTCACCTGATGCTGGTTTTCCCTGTGATTCACTTCTCGCTCCGATCCACAGTTGGATTCGTGCTGTTTCCACATTCAGTCCCTCTCAAGCATGATCCTTGTGGATATATCTTCACCACAGTTCTGCTGCTAGGGGCCATTCTCGTAGCTTCTCTTTATGTCCCTGGCATTCAGTCAGCATTTGAGCTAGCAGGGTCAACAGGAGCAGCCACCATTGCTTTCTGTCTCCCTGGGATGGTGGCACTGAGGTATGTCTTGATGATTTCCACATTCCACACTGCTGCCATTTCTGACTCTCTTTTGGCTGATGCAACATCTTGTGTTGTTGGTGCAGTGAGAGAGCCGGGGGCTTGACAGCTTCAGCCACCCAAAGAGCTGCCGCATGGTTTTTGCTGCTCCTAGGACTCGGGGTGTGTTTTTCGGGCCTTGCCGACAGCATTCATACGTTCTTACAATAGCGTCTTACATTCTCCTTAGGACGCGTTGAAAGTAGACGATCGATCGTCAGTCGCGATCGATATGCGGATCGGTTACCCTATTAACTACTCTGTAACCATGCTACAGTACGCTTTCTGGCCAAAATTTCCCTACAGTGCGAGAATGCGACTGATCACTGTTCGCGGGAAATCTGTCAATTTTCAGCCGCGATCGTTACAACGTCGCAGTCGCCACGTTTCGCCTAACGATCTGCCCACGCGATTGTGGAGATCGATATATGCAGACGATCCTGCGATATTTGCACTTTCAACGCGTCCTTACACAGATAGACATTATCTAATGCCTGACTCTTTTGTCAGATGCAATACAGTGACTCCACATTTTGATGACTCTGAAAGCACATCCACACAAAATCTCCCCAATCCATCTGCTGCGGGTAAAGATGAAGAGGCTGAACTTGAGTGCCGGCTGAGCTGCTGATGACCAATTGCAGTGAGCAGAACAGCTGATGGCTTGGCACTGGCTAGCAACCAGGCACCACATGGCTTCAACGATCTGTGCACTGACCTGGCGGACACGAGTCAAAGATATAACCACCAGATAGAAGAGGTTGTTACTGGAATGTGGTGCAGTGGACTGAAGAAAATGGAATGTGTTGGCTGGAATGCCCGTCTATCCAGGTAGCTTACCTGGCAAGGGATGTCACACCATCACTCCTCTCAGCTTCTGTCCAAAGAACAAGTTGAAGTGGCATGACCATTTGTTTCTCTGAAGCTGCCGCCTTCATAGGCTCACTCGGTTGTAACTTGCACTCCTGGAACAAGAACGGCCAGCAGAACGGCTATGTAAGCATTGTACTTGACTTCCTGTTTGTCTGTTGTGCAGAGAACGGATGTACCAAAGCAGGTATCTGCTCTAAATAGTAAAGGTACAACACTGGAGTACCTTTTACTTCCCGACTACCTACCTTAGAAGGTGGCTGGCACAGCAGAGCATCCACGGTTCCCTTATCCACCACTATATCCACCACCCCTGTCAGCAACAAAAAGAAAACATGCAGCTCAGTCAGCAAAACGTCATACGGACTTTCAGAACGGAGAGGCCTGAATCGGCGGAGATCGCCTCGTTCATAAGCAGCATTCCATACCCCGGAATGGCAGGCATCGTGCATCAGCAACCATGCGATCAACTGGATGGGCGGCAAATTGAGGATGAGAGGCATGGAGCCGCGCCATGGAGGCCATCACACCAGCGTCCACGTCCGTGCTGATCACATGTAGGCCCCTCTCTGCCATGCGCATGCTCCACTCTGAATTGCCGCTGCCTATCTCCACTACCATCAGCGGTGCCACTGCTGCTGCTGCCCTTGCCTCCGTCTCAACCTCTGCGGATCCGGATGCTGCCTCTGCTGTTGATGATGCTGCTGACACTGCTGGTACCGAAGACGACGCATCTATCAATAACGGGCTTCCCTTTTGGCAAGTGTTGTCCAGCTCCTGTAATTCCCTCCCTTTCCTGTCGTCTATCGAACAGAGAGGAGCAATGTGCGATCGCCAGAAGGTCTCAAAGTCAACATCGTACCTGAGTGTTGTGGAAAACAGTGTGACAGGCTGATGGTTTCTGAAGGGAGGCGGATGTAAGAATGGACTTCAGGAAACAATATGTGCGGCATGTCAGGCAAGAATGGATTACTTCAAAATGTGCTGTACAGAAGAAAAATATGGCGCATGGAAGAATCGCGTCGGCACGCCAGAAAATGTGGTGGTCGTAGAGAGAGAGGAAAAGCGGCGATGGATCAATGAGTAGCGGGTAACATCGGCATGGCGTACCAGTCATAGAGGATGGTTTCCTCTCCCGCGTATCGCGTTCGCCAGTAATGCGGTTGAGCATACTCGGTGTTGCGGGACGGACTGAAACGGGAATCAGGGAGTGAAGAGGGAGCGATTCAGCGGTTTGCAGAAAGTTTGAAACGAGACGCGACGAAATACTGAGGGGAAGAAGGAAGGACAACGATGAAGACCGATGACCCGCCAGGTACACACATTCGTCGGGTTATGACGTCTGAATCAGTGTCAAAAAGCCCTTCAAGAAAACCCCCGGTGTCGTCGAGTGCAGGGTTTCCTCCCACGTCTGCCATAGCGAGCAACCGCGACCAATCTCAGACTAAGGGCGACGTCAGGTTGTACAACTTTTTGTTAGCCCTCTCCGGTAAATTTCGTTTCAACACGGTGAAGAGCGGTAATCGTCGAGAACCGTTTTTCACCGTCTTGGACCGTCCTGAACCACGATACAGGAACTGTAAGCGTGTGTGAAATGTATAACCTGACGTCGCCCTAATGATGTGAACACCCACCAAATGGCGAGGATGACAGTCACTGCGTGTTGTTGATATGCATAAAATGGTGAGGATGACGAAATTGGACTCGATATGGAAAACGCATCGAACAATCTATGCACTTTGATTCTATCCACTTTGGTTACATATATCCGCTTTATTTTCAGTTTGAGTCTTCACTTGGCTTTCCCGAGGTTGGCTCGCAACGTGGCAGGTTTGTGTGGCCCCAATTCCTCCATCCCAAATCCGTCGTTCCCTCTCCCTATTCGCACGCGACAGTCCACGCTTCTTGGAACCTTTCGTCAACCATCTCAAATGTCAAAGCGACTGTCGTAAAACCTCGAGCTCTCCAGTAACCACTACCCACCATCTAGGTGCTTGCCGGCTCCAGTTTCCATCTACTCTTCGTGCAAACGAACTGTCTCACCGTTCGCAAATATTCGTCGAGATGAACCCTCAGCAGCGAGCGAGTGGGTGTTCTTCACATCTATGCTTTCCTTCTCTCCCATCCTTCCCACCCCCACACTGTTCAACATCTCTTTGGTCTTTTGTATCTCCTCCTACCACTCCCGTTTCCTCTCTTCACTGCTGCCGTTGCGGCTGACTGGATCTTGGCCATGTCTGATCCATGGTCACTTCACAGGTGAATGATTACACTAAACTACACTTATCTTAGTGGCTGAAGGAAGCTACGTTATAAGGCAGCTGCGGATCGCATTCCTTTGGATGTTTGGGTTTCTTCGCTTCCAGTTCTGTAGGGTAGCACATGCGTTACGGGTGCTGGTGTGGTTGCAGAGGTGGTTCGAAAGCCCGTTTGTCATACGAGAGATAAGTAGGTCTTATAGATAACGCGTCGCCGCTCCCTGCCTCATCTCGAAGCTACCGAATCTGGAGCTTATGCAAGTTCTTCCCTAACTAGCCGACTTCTTTTTTATTCCTGAACTCGGCGATTTTGTGCGACATTCGCGAAGTCGATTGACACCATGGTTGACGACAGTGAAGTTCCCTCGTACGGAGCGGGAACGATGTCAAACGGAATCTCATCCGCAGAAGGATCTCCAAGCTCAGATCGCGGAGGCTCGTCGGATTCCGTCGTCAGATGGCCAATAGCAGAAGCCCGCGTGGCTGATCTGATCTCCCAGATTCAACCCACAACAAGAGCAGAGGAAAGACGGATGGCCGTTTCTGAATACGTCACGAGGCTTATCTCACGTTGCTTCGAGTGCCAGGTAGCTCTTCAGTCATTGTGATATTCTTTACTGTCACCAAACGCTGCGGATCAGTTTTAGGGTTATCTAATTCGGCCTTTCTTCCTCCGCGTAGGTGTTTATGTTCGGGTCAGTGCCTCTGAAGACCTACCTTCCTGACGGCGATATTGACTTAACCGCATTTTCCCGGGGTTCAACCGTGAAGGACGCGTGGGTTCACGACGTTCAAGCGATCCTGGAACGCGAAGAGCGGAACGCAGATGCTCTTTTTCAAGTGAAAGAAGTTCAATACATTCACGCGGAGGTACTTATTCCCACGACCTCTAGATGATATTACTGTTCACCAGCACACTGTTGAAAGGTTTTAGACACGACAGATGAATTCCGTTTGTGTCTACGAAATATGTTTTTTTGTGTGCATTTTTTCCCCTCCTTGTGCTCTTTCGCAGGTCAAGCTCATCAAGTGTCTCGTGCAGAACATTGTGGTTGATATCTCGTTCAACCAACTGGGGGGCCTATGCACGCTCGGGTTTCTAGAAGAGGTGTATACCTAAACTGTTCCCCTCGCACGCAAATGCGATTTCACAACGATTCTTTGTTGACAGAATGGGCCGGTACTTAGCAGCATTCCTCGTTGCGTGATGTCGGTTCAGGTGGACGCTCTGATTGGCCGGAACCACATTTTCAAGCGGAGCATTATTCTGGTGAAGGCATGGTGCTACTACGAGAGCCGAATCTTAGGGGCTCACCACGGGCTCATTTCCACATACGGCCTGGAGACCCTTGTTCTGTACATTTTCCACGTGTTTCACAAGGAGCTGCACAGTCCGCTGCACGTAAGTCTCTTGGGTAGTGTTTTCCTGCTCTTATTCCGTCACTTCCTTTTGTGTTCATTTTACCCTTTTTATGTTCCCTGCGAGTACTTGTTTTTCTCTGTTAAATGACCACAATAGAATCATTGTGTTTTGTGTTGCAGGTGCTTGTCAAGTTTCTGGAGGTATTCAGCAAGTTTGACTGGGAGCAGTTTTGCCTTAGCCTCAAAGGCCCCGTTCCTCTCTCGTCTCTGCCCACCATGCTCGGTGCGTCCCTGTGCACTGCTCCGTCCTCGTCATCCTGCTCCTTTCATTAAAACAGGAAATCCTGCACACTTGTTATGGAAACCCTAATTCACTGAAATCTGCACACGTGCTGAAATTTCTGCAGTGGAACCTTACACTGATTTCAATACTTCGATTCGTGTGCAGCTGAGAGGCCTGGTGGAGTAGAGGACCTGCTCCTCACAGACGAGTTTCTGGCAGAATGTTATGCCAAGTACTCACTGGCTCCCATGGTCCAGAAGCGGCCGTTCATGGTCAAGTTCCTGAACATCATTGACCCTCTACTGGACAATAATAACCTTGGCCGCAGCGTCAGCAAAGGTATGTCTTCTTGCTCATGCATACTTCTCCAGTTCGCCTCCCTTACGTTTGAGTTTGTCGCACACGCTACTCGCATCCTTTTTCTATTCTTCTCTAGGATCAGTTTGCGTGCACAATGCCTGCGACAAGATGCCCTGCGGGCATTCACAACCTTCTCAATCCGTCCATGTCTCCTCCTCGCGGCCCCCCTCGCCTCGTCCCTCCAGCCAACTTCTTCCGCATCAGGAGCGCTCTGGCGTACGGCTCGCGCAAGCTGAACGCGGCGCTGAACGGCCCAGAGGAGCTGGTGGCTCTGGAGGTGGACCGATTCTTCCGCAACACGTGGGTCCGCAACGCCTCTGGCTCCCGCCCAGACGGCTCCAACCACGAGTTTGTACTCCAGCACATGCCCCGCCGCTTGCCGCTCTTTGCTCAACCTATGCCCCCCCCGGTGCAAGCCGGAGGCGTGGCGCCCGCAGCTGCAGGCGCGGCAGCAGGTGCAGGAGTAGGGGCAGGAGCAGGAGCAGGGGCGGGGACTGGTGTTTATGCTGTTAGGCCGGTCGTGGGTGTTGGTGGGGGGTACCGGGGGCAAGTGAACGCAGCAGCGGCTCATGAGAACAAGCCTCCGGGGGAGGGGGATGTTATGCGGGCGCCATACTCCCATGGGGGGCAGCATGGCGTGGTGATGAACGGAAACGTGGCCGGTCATATTCCTGGGAACGTGGCTGGGAACATGGGTGGAAATATGGGTGGGAACATGGGTGGGAACATGGGCGGGAACATGGGGAGGCGGCAGCAGGTACAGGCGTCAGATGGGCCCCACCGGGTGCCATATGGGGGAGGTCATACCTGGATCCCGGCTCCTCTGTTCCCTGTGCCTGCTAATGTGGCGCATGTTCCCGGTGCAAGGGCTTCCCCTCCCATGGCTGGTGGTCCGAGACACGTGCAGCTGGCCCAGCAGCAGCAACAGCAGCAGCAACACCATCAGGCTCAGCAGCAACAGCAACAGCAGCAGCAACAGCACCACCACCAACAGTCGCAGCAGCAACAGCAGCAACGACAATACCTACAGGCACACCATCAGCAGCAACAGCAGTCGCAACAGCAGCAGCAGCAGGCGCAACAGCAGCAGCAGCAGTTGCAGCAGCAGGCGCAACAACAGCAGCCACAGCAACCACAGGGACATACAAAGAGAGCAGAGGCAGTCAACGGAGTGTATCCTGTCCCACCAGTGCGGCCCACTCCTGACCTAGCAGCAACCCTTCACAGAACAGTACAGGTGGATGATCATGCTGTGCAGGCAGGCACACACGAAGCCACTGTGAGACCGTCTGAGAATAGTGTCCGTCTCTTGGAGCAGGCCGTTCGTGCTGCTGACAGTAAAGCTTCTGTGGAGCAAGACGCGTTGGTGAATGAGCTTGTGGAGAGGAAGAAGGCGGGAAGTGTGGTTGCACGCCCAAGGGAGGAGCAACGAAGCGGGAGTGAACGGAGTGGAGGAAACGAGAGGAACGAAGCGAGTGAAAGGAATGAAAGAATTGAAGGGAGTGAAAGCCAGGGCGCACAGCAGGGCGCACAGGGAGGGTTGGACGGAGCAGGGAGTGCAGGACCTGCTGTTAGCTCAGGGAAAGGCGAGGGGGAGGCAACAGCAAGGCAATCAGAGGCAGCGGCACGAGGTCAAAAAGAAGAAGTTGGTTCCGGCTCATGCTCTGCCAAGGGAGCATCAAGAGGTGCAAGGAACAGCAGTAGTAGTGGCAGCAGCAGCAGCAACACTTCATCCAACGTGCAATGGAGAAGGACGCAGTCGGGCTCACGAGTGGCAGTTGCTGGCAACAGCTCTAGTATCGGCACCGTTGTTGCTAGCACCCCTGTCACTAGCAACAGCAGCGCTGTTAGCAACAGTGGTTTGAATGCAGCCGCAGAAGCAGAGCTGGCACAGCAGGTGTCAGGCTGGATTGATGCTTCCTTGGTTGCTGGTGCCCTACAGAGACAGGGCTCGGATCAAAGCAGTGGGGGGAACCAGAGTGTGGGGAATCAGAGTGGGGGATACCACAGCCGCAGCAACAGCATTCACAGCACTGGTTCATCCAGCTCAGTGGAACCACCCCTGAACCAGGATGCAAGCACTTTGGACAGCAGAGGCACTGCGAGTCCCCACGCTTCTATCAGCCAATCACCTGTAACAGCTGTAGGAGGAGCCGCAGCGGTAGGGGCAGGGGCAGCGGCTGCTGCAGGGCTTACAGGTGTCCCTTCTCGGAGTTTTTCTGATAGGGTTCCGGACAGGAACAAGAGCTGGCATGACACTCGACATGAAACCAGACACGAACCCCGACATGTAACCCAGCGTGAAACGCGGGCTGACAGCCCCTCTGTTCCCCCTGCAGTCAGACCAGAGACCATTGCTGTGCCCCACGTTCCGGTTCCTCTTCCTATCCCTGTTCCTGTTCTCGTCCCTCGCACTGCCTCCTCCTCCCCAGTCATGTCCAGCACCAGTTCCCCAACACCCGACACCATTCTCACCACCATAGACGCCCGTTCCCAACCCGTACAACCCAGTGCGCCCCCTGCTCCGCTCGGCCCTCCTCTAGGCCCCCCAGCCAGCTCCTCCGCAGGTCCCTCACCACTCCCCCCCCATGTCAGCCCGTTTCCGTTCCCGCCTGGGCTCCTCATAATGGCCTCTACCCCCAACGGCCCCTGCCTTGTCCCTCTCTCCGCCTTCCCAGGGGCGCTTCACCCGCGACTGCTACAGATGCCCATGCAGCAGCTACAGGCGTTTGGATCTCAGCCGTCGGATGAGAGCTTCTCCCAGCAGCTACAGCAGCAGCTGCTGCAGCAGATGCAGATGCAGCTGCAGATACAGCAGCAGCTACAGCCGAGACGAGATGGGGAAGCCAAGGCACCTGGTCCAGGTTCAGGCAACAACCCGCCGCACATCATGCCAGGATCCCAAACCAGGCTCCCTGTTTCAAATTCGGATGGTTCCGCGTCTCTTCCTCCAGTACCACAGCTCTTTCCATACATGGCGCTTCCCATGCCCCTGCCGGCAGCAGCAGGCTTCCCACAGGCGCCTGGGCTCGTGCCTGTGCGACCGGGAGGGTCTGAAGGGGAAGGGCCGTACAGGGGAGCGTTTGGTGTGAGTGACAGTGCTTCTTACGCGGATGGCCCTGGGGTTTCAGACGCAGCAGGTGGTGGTGGTGCTGCTGCTGCTGCTGTTGCTGCCGGTAGCAGTGGTAGCGGTGGTGATGGCGGTAGGGGAGACTCAGGTGCTTCACCTGCTGCTGTGCCACCTCCTATGTTGTGGCAAAGGATGGACCAGCTGCAGCAGGCGCCAGGCGCGAAGCTACAGGAACCAAGGCAAGCACCCGGAGAGCTGATCGGAGCAGCAGCCGGAGCAGCAGACGGAGTGCAGGCCCCGTTACCTGAGGGCGTGAAGTCAGTCACACCCCCTCCAGGCCATGTCCCGTTCATTCCCCTCATCCGGCCAGCCTCTGGCGCCCCTCCCTTCGCCCAAATCCCCGGCATGGCCCCGTTCCTCCCGCAAATCCCCATCAGAGCGCTGCATCTCGCGCCCCCTTGGATGTTCCCCCCACATGCCCATGCGCCCATGCAAGCCCAGGGCGCTGGCGTGGCAGCAGGTGATTGGTCGGATGGGCTGGCCAGGGCGGGTTCGCCTATGGCTGGTAACGCTCTGGGTCTGTCTGGGTCTGCAGCGGTGGGGGCGAGTGCGGATGGGGATGGGAGGGAGGAGGTGGAGAAAACAGGAGTAGGGCTCGTGGCAGGACTGGGGGCAGGACTGGGGGCAGGAGCCGGGGCAGGTCCCAGGGCAGCAGCAGGGGCGCCCGTGGTGTTTGTAGGAGAGGGAAAGGCAGGTGTTGGCACTAGCAGCAGCAGTGGTGGCGATGCCAGTGGGTGGAGTGGTGGTGGGATTGCCGGGCCACAGCTTACCCCGTTGACCCCGTTGACCTCCACTGGTTCGCCTTTGGTGGGTTCGTTAGCCATGCCATTGGGCAGGGAATCTCCAGGGCAGTCACCTGCCCTGAATAGACCCTCCCAAGGCGTACCCGCCCCAAGTAGACCCTCCCCAGGTGCACCCACCCCTCTGCTCCACCCGACGTCTGCCATTCCGTCATCCACGTTTGGCCCATCCAACCCAAGCACCGATCCCACAAAGCAGCAGCCATATGTCCCATCCACTTTCCCCACTGGGGTTCCAGGGTCCTCAGGGGTTCCAGGGGTTCAAGGGGGAGGTCCTGGTGCTAACCCGGGGGGCGTATTCCCCCTCCACCCCTTCTCTCGCCCGCTAGGTCCCCAAGCTGTGCTGCTGTCTCATCTAGGCGGTCCGCCTGGTGTCTTTCCCTCGTACGTCCTTGCTAATGCTCCCGTCACGCAAGCAGGTGCACCTGGCGCACAGGGCGCAGGTGTCCCTGGTGCAACCCCAACCGTTCCGACCACAGCAAGTGGCGCTGCTGCTGCTCCTGCCACTGGGATGCCTAGTGCTGCTGCGGCTGCTGCTGCTGCTGCTCCTGCTGCCACTGCTCCCTCGCTCTCCGTGCTGGCTAATCCTGTGCCAGGGCAGGCAGCAGGAGGCAGTGAGGGAGGCAAGGCGGTGCAGGTGCTGCCCAACCCGCAGCTGCTGCAGCCAAGCACGTTCCCTCCTGGGGCGATACCAGGGGGAATCTCAGGTGGGCTCTCAGGTGGGCCGTACTCCTTCATGCTCATGTATGCCCCCCAACCTGGCATGCTCCCGGGCGGCAGTGTGCCAGGTGTAGGGGCGGCAGGGGCGGCAGGGGCAGGCAGTGGAGGAGGAGGGTTGGGAGTAGCGGGGGTGGGAGGAGGGGTTGAGGGAGGAGAGGGAGGGACGGGAAGAGTAGCTGGTGGAGAGGGAGGAGGGCTAGGAGGGAAGGAGGAGGGGATGCTGAGCACGGGTGAAGGGAGTGTGGAGAGCAGAGAGGGGTGCGAGGCAGGTGGTCCTGCCGTTGCTGCTGCTGCTGCTACTGTCCCTGCTGCTGTTACTCCCGCCACTGCAACAGCTGCTGCCGCTGTGGCTGCAGCTGGTGCTGGTGGTGGTGCAAAGGCAGGCGGGGTGGACAAGAGCAAGATTCTGCAGGCTCTGGCGGATGGCAGCGGTGGTGGGGAGTTCCGCATGCTCCGGGTGGCCAGTGCTGGCAGTATTGACACCTCCAAGCGAGCACCAGGCAGCACCAGCAGCACCACCACCGGCACCACCGGCAGCGCCACCACTGGTACCAGCAGCATTGCCACCAGCAGCACCGGCACCAGCGGCATCGCCAGTTTTGGGACAGCCGCGGTGGGCTTTGCAGGGCTTCCTAGAAGCAAACTGGCAGGCTCGCACAGCGCCTCCGTTGCCCCAAACCTGACTATTTTTTCCGAATCTACAGGGATCGTGCGGTCAGAATCGGCCCAAGAAGCAGTGAGGCTTGCGACTGCTGTGCCCCAGCCTTCCAGTGTATCGGCCTCTGCTGTTTCTCCTTCTGTCATTGAAGCATCAGCATCAGCGGCTGGTGCCTGTGATACAGCTGCTCTCAATCCTCTCTCATCGTCCCCTTCCTCCTCCTCCTCCTCGTTGCCTTCCTTGTCCTCTTCCTCAGTGCGTGCACGGTCGAATCCCGTGGCCACAAGAGATCCCTCGTCTTCCACTGCCAGTGCTCCACGCGTGGTGCGAGGCAGGGGCGGCAGCGGCGGGGGGAGTGAGGGCGTGTTAGCAGAGCCACGCAGGGGGGCCAGTGGAGGGGGGAGCGAAGGTGGGGTAGCAGAGCCACGGGCTGATGCTGCTGGGGAGTCTGCGTCTTGGGGCAGTGGGGAAGGTTCTCAATGGGGCCATGGCACCACTGCCGGTGCAGTGAGAGGGGAGGCGCGGCATTCAGGTGGAGGGAAGCAGCAGCGAGGGGGCACAAGAGGGGAGGATGGCCGAGGTGAGGGGAGTGGAAGGGGAGAGGTCAGCGGAAGAGGAGAAGGGAGTGGGAGAGAAGGGGGTGGAAGGGAAGGCAGTGGAAGAGGAGGAGAGAGAGGCGGGCAGCGTAGGGGAGAGGCTCAGGATATGGGAGAACAGGCAGAACAGCCTTCCTCAAAACTCCAACAACAGCAGCAGCCAGCAGCACTCAAGGGAGCACTAGGGGTGCCCCAACTGCAGCAGGGTCAGGTTTTGGCAAAGCCGAAGCAGAGTCTTGGGTTGAAGCCCTCTGGTTCCACAACTAGTAGAAAGGCTGGTGCAGCCACTGCAGCCAGTGCGGCTCCTGCTCCTGCCACTCCCACTGCTGCTGCTTCTGCTCCTGTTCCTGTTGCTTCTGGTGGTGGTGGTTTTGATGGTGGTGCTCCGAATGCAGTTACTTCCATCAAGAACGCATTTTCCAACAGCATCTCTCCTGTCACTCCATTTAGCGCACCTCCCATGGCACAGCAGGGCGCCGAGCCTGTAGAGCTGGACCGGCGAGTGCCCGAACCAGATGACGAGCCTCTAGCTTCGGCGGAAACGGTGACCATCAGTTGGAGGTCGTCCTTACGGCCGGGGGAAGAAAGGCAGGCGGCAGGGAAAAGGGCACCGAGAACTTCCCAGCAGCAGATACAGGCCACGGGGTGGGGAGAACCGGAGGCGGCTGGTGAGGGTGGGGGTAGTGCGTTTGTGAGCAGTGCGGCACAGAGGGAGGAAGGAGGGTTCCCTGAGGCAGGACGCAGCAACAGCCCGTACTCCTTACAGCAGCAGCAACCTCAGCAGCCTATGCTGTCGCAGCAGCAACAACCCAGAACTCCTCGCAGCAACAGCCCCGCAGCTGCAGCTACAACTACAGCTGCTGCAGCATCAGCTACCACAGCATCAGCTTCAGGAGTGTCAGCAGCAGCAGGAGGGGAGGTGGCATCTAGGGAAGGCACAGCTCGAGAGGGTCCACAGCGAGTGCGCAGCCTGGGAGGGGCGTCCCGGTCAGAGGACAGGTTCTACAGCGCTCACCGAGGAGGACTTGGTAACCGCAAGGGCCTGGGCTTGACAGGAACTGCTGCTGGTGGTGCAGCTGGTGCTGCTGGTACTGCTGCTGGTTCTGCTGCCGGTGGTTCTGGTGGTGGTGGTGGTGGTGTGGCTGGTGGCAGTGACGGGGGCTCGGATGGGCTGGGGAGTTCCGGAGGGTCTGTGGCACTTGGCGCACCAGCAGCAGGGCCAGGAGTTTCTTCAGGTAGCTCAGGTGCCTCTGGTGGCTCAGGGCCTAAGAGTAGTTCCAGTGGAGGCAGCTCAGTGGTGAGTGCCAGGGAGAGAGGAGGGGTCAGTACTGGGGGGAAGGGGGAGAATAGGAGCAGCACTGGCAAGGGTGCTGCAGGTGCTGCAGGCACTGCTGGTGCTGCAGGCGCTGCTTCGTCCTTTGCAGCAGGGATGGTGCCACCGTCGCTGCGGTCGATGTCACCTCGGGCGGGTGGGAAGGGAAGTGCAGGCGTAGGGGCGGGTCGGAGTGGGCAGAGTGGGAGCGGAAGTGGCTCCCCGGTGTTGAACTCTCCCAAAGCAGGGAAAAGAATAAGGTGATCCCTTCAGCATTCCACTCCACTCCATGCCTCTCCACTCCAACCCACCCGATTCTCTCCACTCCTCTCCACTCCATTCCACTTCACTCCACCCCACTCCACTCCACTCCACTCCACCCCTCTCGACTCCTCTCCACACTTAACTCAAGTCCACAGCATGTCATTTCAAAGCTATGGTCTGCAATACATACCTTGTCCATGCGTCCCAAGTATTGTGCAAATTCTCTCCAAGCCCACACAGACACCGATCTTGAGCACCGCTTTTTGTCTGCATCGTTCTGCTGCGCGTTCACGTCTTGCATGCTGCAGAGGGGAAGACGCTCTATATGAACTCAAGGACGAGGATTTCCCCCCGTTACACACTCCCAAGTGATTGCAAGGAACTTCCTCCCTAACATTATGTTATATTGGGTGAATCAGGAGTTACAGGCGCTTGGCTTCTCTAGACTGGTGCATAATTACCGCGTTGCGTAGGAAAGGGAGTCTCTGATTTCCTCTTTTCATTGTTGTCTGGTAGGTTATTTTTCTCTCTTAGCTAGTGATAGGTACATGTTGCGTATTGACATGCTAGATTGACAATCAAGTTGTCTCATCCTTGACCCATAAAAATTGTAGCCCGCCTGCCTCCTTTGTCGGGAACAAATTTGCATTACGGCTTGAGGAAGACTCCGCGAGATTCAAGCAAAGTTGTTTTCCAGGTGCTGCCTCTCGCGGGTGCAAAAAGCTCGTCAGCGACGCTCGAAACCTACTGCTCTCCTCGGTATTGCCGAGCTGGTCTACTTCGCGGTGCTCGTTTCCGTGTCGCTAGCATTTCCTCGCGGACGCATGTTACCGTTCGCCTCTCCAATCGCCAATGCGCGCTTTTCCGAGCCCGTCGTAGTGTTACCTTCTAGTACCAAATGCGGAACGAGAATACGCGTTACTAGCGATTCCGCCATGGAATGCGTTTCTTTAAGACGCGTCTCAGGACGCGCTATAACAGGTTGCGTTTGTAGCAGACCCGGCGGAACCAGGACCGTTAGTCCCTGGCCTCGCTCGCAGAGCCTCTCCGTTTCGCGGCCACGTGTCAGATCCGCCGCTTTCGGCGGTTCTTATTTATTTAACCAGGCTTTTCCGCGGTCAGGTTTTGCTACTGTCACGAGAGGTGCTGCTGCCGGTTGTGATAGTATCGATAGGAGGAGGAGCAGAGGATTTGGAGCTCCCGCTATAAGATTGGCTGGAAGAATCTCTACAGGAAGAAACGAATTCGGTGGCAGTAGCTCGTGTAGGAGTATTGGCACTAACAGCATCAGCATCCATAGCCGTAATTACGTCGGGAGCAGCATTAACAGCAGCAACAGCAGCAACAGCAGTGGCAGCAGCAACAGTAGCAACGGAATTTTGAGCAGAAACGGAAACCGACATGAACACAGTAGCGAGTATAGTAGCAGCAGGAGTGGTTTTGGTGACAGAAGAAGCGGCTATAACAGGAGCGGCGGGAGCAGCAGTAGCAGCAGGAGCAGCAGGAGCAGCGGGAGGGGCGGGAGGGGCGGGACGCAATGGGAGGATAATTTCTGGGAGGAAATAGAGGCAGTCGGGCGGGAGAGGGACTCCGGGGAGGTGTGGGCGGAGATTGTGGCGCAGCTAGGGGGAAAGGGGGAGGCGGAGGGGGAAGGAGAGGGGGAAGAATGGAAGGAGAGGTTAGGCGAGGCGGAGTGGGAGGGGCGGGGGGAAAAGTTGAGTGGAAAGAGGGAGGATGGGGGGAAGTGGTGGGAGGGAGTAGGAGCGGGAAGGGTGGAGCCCGAAGCAGTGTTGGAAGAGCTGCATATTAGGTGGGTGGTGTGTGGTTGAGTAGGGTGTGAGTGAGTTGGGTGCAACTGGGCGTGAGTGAGCAGTAGCGTACGTGTTGGTCTTATTTGATAGTAATAAGTGGTGTCAAAACACAATTGTTAGCCACAGGCTGTGATGGTCACTGCTTTCCCTCCATTCCATGCACTCTCTCCCCCCTGACGCCACTCACTCACTCACTCACTCACTCACTCACCCACTCACTCACTCACTCACTCCCTCCCTCCCTCCCTCCCTCCCTCCCCCACTCACTCGCTCACTCTCTCCTTCTCCCAGGGACTTCGCTCTGGTGGAGCACCAGGTGCTCTCCTTCTCGCCTGCGTTCAACGTCATCACGGGTGACAGCGGGTCGGGCAAGTCAATCATCGTTCAAGCTATAGGGCAGGTGGGGCTATAGCGAGGGTTTGACCTTGTTAGGACTTGGCTTTAGCAGCACTAGCATCAGAGGGCGCTGTGCCATCACGGGTGACAGTGGGTCGGGCAAGTCAATCATCGTGCAGGCCATAGGGCAGGTGAGGGTACAGCGCAGGTGGGGCTATAGGGCAGGTGGGGCAATAGGGCAGGGGCGGCAGGCTGTAGTTTAGAGAAAATCCTATCAACTCAGGTGCCGCAAGAATCAGTCAGTAAGTAAGGTGCCTCAAAACTCGTCTCATCCTGCGTGCACCAGACCATACCCCAGGTGAGTACTGCTTTTGGCTTGCCACATATGTGGCTGTAGTGCTGGCTGTACTTCCTGTTTATACTCTGTGTGACCCGTTCGCCCTTTCCTCCTCTCATCCTCTCTGGTTGTTTTCTCCTTCCCCTCTTTTCCCCTCTTTCTCCTCCCCTCCTTTCCCTTTCGATTGAAGGTACTGGGAGCAGCAGCGTCAGAGGACTCTGTACAGCCTCTCTCTCCGCACATCTCTCCGTGTTCTCTTCTCCTCCACTCCTCTCCTGCACTTCTCCCCTTTCTGTCCCTCACTTGAAGGTACTGGGAGCACCAGCATCAGAGGACTCTGTATGGCCTTCGGCCCTCTCCTCCTCTCTCTCCGCACATCTCTCCGTGTTCACTTCTCCTCCACTCCTCTCCTGCACCCTTCTTGTCCTCTCCTTTCCGCTTCCGCTTCTCCCCTTTCTGTCCCTCACTGGAAGGTACTGGGAGCAGTAGCGTCCGAGGATTCTGTACGACCACCGGCCCTCTCCTCCATTCTCTCCGCACATCTCTCCCTCTCCCCCTCCGCCTCTCACTCCCTCCTGCAATTCCTCAGGCAGGAAGGTAGGCTAGATGTGGTAAAGGCCGTTACTGGGGGAGGTGGTTTAGCCGATGATTCAGGTGATAAAAACGGAGGGCAGCAGGAGCGTGGTTCAGGGGTGAGCGGAGGTGGTGGTGTGCGAGTGAAGGTGATTCTAGAGAGGGAGATTTTCCGCTCTGTTGCTGCTGGTGATGATGCTTATAGCGAGTCTGAGGCTGATGGCAACAGCAACAGAGCGGGAAGCAGCAGCAAGAGTGAAAGCAGGAGCGGGAGCAAGGGCAAGAAGAGCAGCAAGGCGCGGAGTGTGTGCCGGGTGAACGGGGTGGTGGTTCCTCTGAAGGTGCTGCGTGCTGTGGGCGCAGCCCTGGTGGATTTGAACGGTCAAAACGCGCAGGGGGCTCTTAGGAGTGAAGGCGCTCAGCTGATGCTGCTGGATAGATTTGCAGAGCGGTGGGGGGGTGAGGAAGGAATCGGGAAGGGTAGAGGGGAGGATGCGGGGAAGGAGAGAGAGGAGGAGGAAAGGACTAGGGAGGGGGAAGAGGAGGAGAGAAGGGAGGGGGAGGAGGAAGAGGAGAGGGAGGAGGAGGGTGGGGAGGAGAGGGTGGAGGTGGGGATGCTGCTGGCGAGGGCGCAGCAGGTGTGGGAGGAGCAGAAGAAGCTTCAGGAGGCAGGGGGGGAGCAGGCGCTGATGGTGCTGCAGGAACTGGTGAGACGGGGTAGGAAGTGGTGAGAGCAGGTGGGAAGTGGTGAGAGGAGATAGGAAATGGTGCGAGGAGGTGGGAAGTGGTAACAGGAGGAGAAGACACAGAAGATCAGGGAAGAAGGCTTAGAAGATGAGGAGAAATGGTGCTTTGATGCTCCGTGTGCCCCTTGCGTACTGCCTCGCTATTCACCTTGTCCCGAATCTCAGCTCGTTGCAGTCCTTTCCTGGGCCCATATTTTCGAGTCGACTCAAAAGTCAACTCGCTATTCACCTTGTCCCGAATCTCAGCTCGTTGCAGTCCTTTCGTGGGCCCATATTTTCGAGTCGACTCAAAAGTCAACTCGCTATTCACCTTGTCCCGAATTACAGCTCGCGTTGCAGTCCTTTCCTGGGCCCATATTTTCTCCTCCATTGCCGTGCCCCTCAGGTGGACGACGTGGAACGACTAGGCCTGAAAGAAGGGGAAGTTGAGGCGATCAGAGAGGAGATTAAGGAGCACGAGCAGGCAGGCAGGGCAGCTGAGAGCTGCAGTCGCGCCCACGGGATGCTGGAGGGGTCAGCAGCTCTTGGCGTGCTGCATGGGTTGAGTAAGGCTGTGGAGGAGTTGAGAGAGGTGGAGGAGGAGGAGCAGGAGCAGGAAGAGCAGGACGGGGAGGAGGAGGAGGGAGGGAGTGGGAGGAAGGGGAGGAGGGGAGGGAGGGGGGGTGCAGGGGGGTATGTGCAGAGAGGGAGGTTGGACGACCTGCGGTTCTCAAGAGAGCGCATGGATCGACTTAAGAAGCGGCTGAGAGAGGTGACAAGTGGTGTAGAGTGGTGAGGAGGTGCTGTTTACAGGAATGAGAAGGATGAGGGAAAATGATCATTGCAGGAAGGAAAGTCAAATCAGTTGAGGGGCCTGTGCAAGTAAGCCTTTCTTTTGGAGTCCTCAATAAACTTGCAAGTGTTTACTGTATTGTCAAGTCAAATCCTGTGGTAACAAGGGTATAATTGTGCTGACGTGGCTGCTTGTGTGAAACACGTGTCCGTCTCCTCTCTCCTATCTCGTACCTGCTGTGCGCCCTTAGCACCCTGCTCCCTGCTCTGTGCTGCTTGCACTGCACCACTCTGCACCACACTTCACTGCACCGCATCACATTGCACCGCACTGCACCGAACCTTGTTGCGTGGTGGGTGGCAGATAGAGGTGGTGCGCAGGCGCCACGCCGTTCGAACGGCAGCAGAGCTTTGGTCGGCCGCGCAGACAGCAGCAGATCAGATCGCCAGCTCAGGTGCCATGCTGATGCTGATGTTGGTGATGCCGATGATGCTGGTGCTGGTGCTGATGCTGATGCTCGTTATGCTGATGACGATTGAATAGGTGTTGGTGGTACCCCTGCTGTTTGCATCTTGTTTGTGCCCCATACCCCATACCCCATACCCCATACCCCATAACCCATACCCCATACCCCATAACCCATACCCCATACCTCATACCCCATACCCCATACCTCATACCCCATACCCCATACCTCATACCCCATACCCCGTAACCCATACCCCATACCTCATACCCCATACCCCATACCTCATACCCCATACCCCATACCTCATACCCCATACCTCATACCCCATACCCCATACCTCATACCCCATACCTCATACCCCATACCCCATACCTCATACCCCATACCTCATACCCCATACCCCATACCTCATACCCCATACCCCGTAACCCATACCCCATACCTCATACCTCATACCTCTCACTCACTCAAAACCATGGCTCCCCACTCATCCCCTTTCCCTGAACCCTCCTCCCCGTGTTCCCACTTCCTCCTGCCCTCCCGCCCGCAACCACAACAGGGAGTGTGGAGAAGAGGCGACGGGAGCTACAAGACGAAATGAGCCACCTCGCGGCGGAGATTGGGCGGCAGTTTTTGGCAGCTAGCAGGAGGAGGCGGGTGGCAGCAGAGGATCTGGGGGAGCGAGTGGAGGGCGTGCTGAGAGGGCTGGAGATGGGTGCAGCGCGGTTCAGAGCGGTGGTGTCGTGGGTACGCAGGGGATGTGATGAGGGAAGTGATGGAAAGGGGATGATGGATGGGGGTTGATGGCAGAGGGGTGGCAGAGGGGTGGGGGAATGCTAGTAAGTTCCACCCTCTCTTTCCTTCCTCTTTCTCTTCATTCCACTTCTCTCTCCCTCCTCCCTCTCTTCCCTTCCCCTCCCCTCCCCTCCCCTCGCCTCCCCTCCCCTCCCCTCCCCTTCCCTCCTCTCCCCTCCCTGCCTTCCCCCATCACCCCTCGTTGCAGGAGGCAGCAACTCCCCGCTTCTACAGTGCCACGTCAGCTCCCTCCAGCCAATCTCAGATTAGCATGCCGGAGAGAAGAAGGGGTGGTGGAGTGGGAGAGAGGGGAAAGGGAGTAGAGGGGAGGGGCGGCTGGGGAAGGGAGGTAGAAGCAGTCTGGGACGAGGAAGAGGAGGAGGAGGGGGAGGAAGAAGAGGAAGAGGACGAGGAGGAGGAAGAGGAGGAGGGGGAGGAGGAGGAAGAAAGGGGTGAGCAGCAGCAGCAGCATGGGACGGAGATACTAGTAGAGGAGGGGTTGATACGAGTGGAGGGGGCTGAGAGTGTGGGCGAGAGGAGCGACGTGTTTTACCGATACAGCAGCACTGGCATGGATAGGGTGGGTTTCTTGTGAGAGCGCTAGGCATGGGCAGGGGGGATGGGTGGCAGTGGTATCAATGGGTTGGGTTGGGTACAGGTGCTTGGGCATGGGCATGATGAGTGGCTCCTGAAGGAAACGAGGTGACTTTTGAGTCGACTCAAAAGTCATAGGCTGGGTTGGGTGCAGGGGCATGGGCATGGGCATGGGCATGGGCATGGGCATGGGCATGGGCATGGGCATGATGAGTGGCTTCTGAAGGAAAACAGGGAGATGGATAGGATAGGTGGCGTGGGCAGGGTACATTACTTTTGCTGTTTTTGCTCCCGAATCCAAACCAATTCAGAACAATCTTATCGAATCGTATCCACTCCAATGCATGCGTGCCCGGCAGGTGGTGTTTCAACTGTCAGCCAATCCCGGGGAGCCGCTGCTGCCGCTCTCCCAAGTGGCCTCAGGCGGGGAGTGCTCCCGAATCATGCTCGGTGGGGTGGGGTGGGATTGGGTGGGGTAGGGTGGGGTGGGGTGGGGTGGGGTAGGGTGGGGTGGGGTGGGTTTTTTTGGGCTGAAGTGAGGGTGGGAGACGTTGGATGGGCTGATTGGTTGTGCTGGGAGAGGAAGGGGTTGTGGGGTTGTGCTGAGTCATGCTGAGTCATGCTGATTCATGCTGAGTCATGCTGAGTCATGGTGAGTCATGCTGAGTCATGGTGAGTCAATGGGTGGGGTCAACCTGAAATTATGCTTCCATTAGATGCTGCTGCGATTTTCAGGTCGACGGAAGAACGGGGTCGAGCTTGAGTTATGCTCCCTTCAAATCGCAGTGCCATCTTTTGGAAGAGCTGATGCTGCGAGAGTTTGAGACGGCGTCGGTGAATGTTCCTTTCAGCTCTTCCGTTCTTTCGTGCTCACTTCCCTCCGTCTCTCCATTCCCCGTTTCTCCATTCCCACTTGCTTCCAGCACTCAAGATTATCGCAGCAACCACCACCACCACCTCCACCAGTCCCACCTCCCCATCATCCCTCGCAACAAGCAGCAGCAGCAGCAGTAGCAGAGGTGATCTGCCAGCAGCCAATGGGAGTGTGCCAGGTGTCAGCGTGTCGGTGTTTGATGAGCTGGACAGCGGTGTGGGTGGCCGAATCGCTTCCCGATTCGCCCTCGCCCTGCGCCACCTGTGCAGACAGGGTAACCAGGTGAGGAAACCTGTGCAGACAGGGTAACCAGGTGAGGAAACCTGTGCAGACAGGGTAACCAGGTGAGGAAACCTGTGCAGACAGGGTAACCAGGTGAGGAAACCTGTGCAGACAGGGTAACCAAACCAGGTGAGAAAATCTGTGCAGGCAGGGTAACCAGGTGAGGAAAACTGTGCAGGCAGGGTAACCAGGTGAGGAAACCTGTTCAGGCAGGGTAACCTGTTCAGGGTACCCTAGTTTACCATTTCCCCTCCTTCGTTCTCCCTGCCACCACACCCCCCTGCCATCTGGTGATCTGCATGACGCACCTGCCCCAAGTGGCAGTACACGCCGACGCGCACAACGCATGTAACCCTCTTGGCCTTTTCCCTTCCCTCCCTGCTTCCCTGCCTCCATTCCCTGCTTCCTTGCTTCCATTCCCCCCAAGTGATCTGTATCACTCATCTGCCCCAGGTGGCAGTGCACGCAGACGCACACATGAGTGTGAGCAAGCGAGTGGATGGGGCTGATGGCCGCATGCGCACCACTGCTTTTGAGACGCCTAAGAAATACACCCTGCCAATGCACCCCCTGCCACCACCCGCAGGTGATCTGCATCACCCACCTGCCCCAGGTGGCAGTGCATGCAGACGCGCACATAAGCGTGAGCAAGCACGTGGACGGGGCCGATGGTCGCATGCGCACCACTGCTGTTCCATTCCCCCCCTTCATTCTCTCCCTACCACACCACACCCCCCTGCCACCAGGTTATCTGTATCACTCACCTGCCCCAAGTGGCGGTGCATGCAGACGCACACATGAGTGTGAGCAAGCACGTGGACGGGGCCGATGGTCGCATGCGCACCACTGCTGCGCGCCTTACAACCCTGGAAGAACGGGTGAGGCTTGAAAGGAGGCATGTGTGAGGCTGGGAGGGGTAGAAGACAAGGAAGGGGAGGAGAAGGAGAAGCACAGAGAATCGAGGTTGGGAGAAGCACAGAGAAGCGGAGAAGGTTAGGAGAAGCGGGAGGCTGAGAGTAGGGGGGCGTTGGTTGCATGCGCACCACTGCTCCCTGCCTCACAACCCTGGAGGATTGGTTGAGGCTCGGAGGGAGGCATGGGTGAGGTTCGGAAGGAGGCATGGGTGAGGCTCGGAGGGGGGCATGGGTGAGGCCTGGGGTAGGTGCGGGTAGGTTGGCTTGTGAAAGATTTTCTCACATCTCCCTCACAGGTATGTTAGCAAAAGGTGTGAGTGTCGGGAAGCGAGGGTGGCGGCTCTGATGGAGTCAATCAGCATGTGTGCACCCAATCTGCTCTCATTCATTGCTCCTCTCTCTCACTATTTCTCTTCACACTCGCTCCTCACTCTCCTTGCTTTTCACTCCCGTTGCTCCCCCTTCTCCCTGCTCCTCACTTGTCATCTGGTCTCTTCCCCCTCTTTCCTCCTCTTTCCCCCACTTTTCTCCTCTTTCCTTCCCCCCACCTTGTCAGGCCTCGGAGGTGGCTCAGATGCTGGGGCTGGCCCTCCCCTCAACTCTGGAGCTGTTTCGTGCAATAAGGGCACACTCTTTCCCCCTCTTTCCCTCCCTCTCCCCTCCGCACCCCATCAGGCCTCGGAGGTGGCTCAAATGCTTGGGCTGGGCCTGCCCTCAGCTCTGGAGCTGTTCGGTGCAAAGGGAGGCATGGAGGGAGCAGTGAACACAGAGAGACCAGTGAACGAGGAGCGGCACTTGAAGGCTGTCCAGCGGGATGCTTGATGAGTTACTAGTAGCGATCACTGCGATTACAGTAAAATAGCGAAGGGTGATACCCTTCCCTAACTGGGAATTTGGAGCCACTATACGTGTTTATATCTAAGCATGTAACTCGGTCGTTGCTTAACTCAACCAGATGGTCACCAATTGCAAACTTGTGGCAGACATGTTTCAGTAAAAAATCCTTCGCCTTGCGCGTCTGTACAGAGTGCAGCACATCCTTCCCCGGAATATAACAAAGAGTGGCAACACTATCTGGTGGTGATTTGTCAGGTTGACTGTAAGAAACAAAAGGGCACATTCTCCAGGAGCAACCCGGGTTCGAACCGGGGACCTATCGATCTGCAGTCGATTGCTCTACCACTGAGCTATTGCTCCATGCCAGGATCACTACTATATTATTATATTAACTATTTTAAATTATCGGTTCGTTTTGCTAGGATCACGGTTTCTGCCCGTACACCCTGATGTAAGTTTTGTGTTGCACCATTCCACCCGCACTCACAAGATTTTTAGGTGAGCTTGTAAATAATTTCTGAACTGGTGTTGGAAACCCACGAACAAGTAGTTTCTGTACCTAGAATTGATTTCGTCCCGACTTGAGCCTCCCCGACCCGAATCCTCCGTCCTCAGGCGTGCTGGATTTTCGTCGCCATGGCCCTTGCTCCTTGACAATGGTTGCACCCCACCATATCCAACCCGTTGAAACGCACTTAACCTAGGCAAACCGCATAGGTTACCTTGACCCCTTCTATGAGATCCTAGATTTTCCCGTGAGGTGAGGAGAGGACCGTCAACTCCTTCCCTCCCTTTCCATTCACTCATCAGGCGAGAAATGCAAGCTCGAGAAAACCAAATTTCTGCTCTGCGGATATGTCCCGGACTAAAGAGCAGCCAAATCTTGGATGGCCAATCCGATCCGATTTGAACGGTGGCAGCCACAACAGCAAACCCTTTGTCTCGTCTTTTTTCAATCACAACAAGGTGACCTACCCATCACCTCACTCACCACCAGGGCTGACGATTCAAGGGCAAATGCCCTTAATGCCCTGAACATTAAGGGTTGGGTTCGGCCCAGCTTCCGAAGTTTAAGGGCTGGCTTTGAGGGCAGCCCTTTCCCGCAAAGTTCTGGTTGTGGGCCTAACCCGGGTTTTAAGTGCAGTTCCCGCGGCTAGCCCTTATTGTCCCATACTAATACCTCCCTCCCTCCCAATCGCTCACCAGTCCCCCCACCTCCTCCCAGCCACTCCCCTACTTCCTTTTCCCATCCCCGTCAAATCCATCGACATGTTTCGAACCTCAGACTTTTGCCTAGCTGGCTCTTAGTAGTTTGCCTAGGATACGGACCCGAAGAGATGTAGGTTTTCCTTAGCGAAAGTGCAGAAAAGTTGGTAGCCCTGATTTCAAGTGCCAGGTTTGCTCTCAGCCCGTAAATTTCAGGGCAACTTTTGGGGCACCTCAGCCTCTCAAGTTCTGGCTCCAAACCAATCGACAGCCCTGCTCACCACCACCACCATCCACAATTGCATTTTCAACATGACTCGGAGCCAGTTTACCCCATTGTTCGCCAGTGTGTCTGTTATTTCTGATGAGATTTGCGTCCGCCGCAGCAGATACTCCCCTAACGTCTGCGCGTACCATATCTGTGTTTTTTACAAGACTTGGGTGACAGACGTTTCTCCAGTCTTCCAAGCATATCTGCCCAAATCTACTCGATGTACACACGAAGAACTATGCTTTCCTCTCCTCAACAATCCTTGCTTGAATACAGAATCGTAACGTCATCACAATCGTCCTCGTTTCACGATCCGTTACACGATCGGATTCAGCATTGATCCGTCCGATCGTCCAGCTTGGCTGGGAAGGGAAAGGTCTTCCAGCCTGGCTGGGAGGGGAATGAAAGTTGGCTAAGTGCATGAAATCGCCGTCTAAGAACTGTATCAACTGACGGAGAATCGCCGGATTTCAATTCTGTTGCGTCAGTTCAGTTTGCCCTCCTAGAGGCGATCTCAATCTGGCCGTCCCGAAATTACTCCTCCCGGTGGGACGAGCAAGTCCTCCGAGATTCCGTAGGGTAACCCTCCCTTCACCTGTGGGTCGCCTCGCCAAGTCCCCTGGCCAGCTCACGTGGGCCCGAACCCCGACCTTCTCTCACCGTCGTGTTTCTCGTGGAACAAATCTCCTTCCGTCAGGGCGATGCTAATCATTCTGTGTTTCCAGGAATAGGTTCATACAGCTTTTAAAGCCGTGGCCCAACTATCAGCTTCGACTTCAGGGTATTATAGCTTGAAACTTGGTAGACCCAGGCAGTTCAGTGGCGAGAGGTTTGTCTTTTGCGAGATTCCATTTTTTTCGTCCAATAAGGGTCCCGTTACACACACTCCATATTTGTCCTGCTACTGTTCCTAAGAAGTTGCACCCCGCCTTTAAATCCAAATGGGTAGCCGGACGAAGATCGAGAGCTGAGGTACTTACTATGCGTACTAGCCTTCGGTGATCTGATGCGGGAGACCCACAGTGCTTCGAGAGCGGAGCACACCGTTCTTGAACTTGAAAAAAGCACACCGTTTGTCACTGGTAATACTCAGAAGTGTGATCTGAGTGTCAACGGACGCCTCGAGGCCTCTTAGTCAGAGAAACCTGTTTCAAACCGCCTGCTTCTAGCAAGGTATGGCAACACCAGCAGCCATGGATCCACCGTTCGCGTACCCATCGTCATCGCCTCGCAGTGCTCCCCCGGGTGAGGAACCCCCCTTCTCCGACTCCCTTCTGCCTCTCTTCCCGTCACCTGCTCAACCGGGTTACTCGCCAGCAGCCCAGGCCCCCCTCAACCGCGAAACTTTAGGGTTTCGCCTTTCTGAACCAAATGCTCCAAAGCCGGTCTTCTCGGAAAAGAGGGTAGCAAAAGAACCGGACTCCACCGCTTCTGGCTCCAGGAAACGCTGTCAGAGCCAGCCTTTTCCTCGCAGCAGCAGCACAAGCCGTGGCAGCACGTGGCAATCAGAGCAATGGAGAGCCACATCGGCAGCACTGGCGAGCCCCACAACTCGCCCGTCTGATGCGGCGTCAGCACCTTCACACAGGCGGAGAAGGGTCGGAGGACCAGCAGCAGCGGCAAGCACGGCGAGCCTGCCTGCTAAGCTGCCTACAGCAGAGGGATTTGCGCGAGAGATTCAGGAAACAGCTCGTTCCATGAGCTTGGATCTGCCTCCGCCTTGTTGCTCCTCCATGTGCTCTTACTTCTCGGTACCATGCAGGATGAAAAGCGGGTGGTATGGTGGCGTTTTGGCGGGAACGTCTAGGAGTGGGGGAGCTGGGGTGCATGAGAATAGCGGCATGGCGGTGCAGCAGGTAAAGCAGCAGGCACCGCAACACACACAGCAGCAGGCGCAGCCGCAGCTACAACAACAGGCTCAGCAGCAGGCACAACAGCAGCAACAGGTGCAACAGCAGGCACAACAACAGGAACAGGCGCAGCTGCAGCCGCATCAGCAGCAGGCGCAGCATCAGGAAAAACAGGCGCAGCAGGCACAACCGCAACATATGTGGTGGCACGGACAGGAACAAGGCCAGGCGATGCCAAAGCGGCTTGCACAGCAGCAACACCACCAGCAGCACCAGCAGCAGCAGCAGCAGCAGCTGGTGCCACTGCCACTGGCTCCGCATATTGAGCTGGGACCACAAGAACATCAAGCACTCTCACATCGCCTCCAGCTATTCCCCCCTCATGATGTCTCAGAACCAGAGTGTACTCGCCCGAACAGTTCATGTGCTGTGCCTATGACTGAGTCAGCTTATATCGAGGATCATGAAGCGGCTGTTGGAGAGACAGGTCAGCACTCTGTCCAGGCTCAGAGCCCCTGTTCAATGGACACGAGAGGCAGTGTGTGCAAGGATAGGAAAACCCCAAGGAATGCTTTTGAGGCGGGGCAAGATATGCCTTTTCGCACAGAGGCACGGCATAGCCAGTCGTTTGCAACCGTACCAGCTCAACAACAACCTTTGTTGTTTGGCCGGGTTCTTTCATCTGTCAGTCATGATGTTGAAAGCCCGGAAGTTGGGGCGGCAAAGCAAGGTGTGTGTTTTGAGGATGTTGGGTGCGGTGAGAGGGAGATTGATGCATCTAGTGGAAATAAGGGTCTTGAAGGGGGGAATATGATGGATGCGGGTAACAGATTGTTTGGTTGTGTTCTTACTCGGACTCATGGTCAGCAAGAGCCAAGTAGAACAAGCCAACATTTAGATCTTAACCTAGATCTGTGAATATATTTTGTTGGGATGTGGGTCGCTCGCTGCATATAATTCAAAATACCGTATTACTACACATAGTACCGTACAAACCAAAAGCACACCAGGGCGTTGTAAGAGGTGAAGTTACACTAACCTGCAAACAATGTTGTAGATGAACACAAATAAGCTTCAGAGAAATAATACTTTCCAGGAGTCGCTACACGAGACACCACGTCATCACAAATTCCACTCCTTTGTTCAGTTCACAAGGCACCCTTTGCCGTTAGTATTCGGATTATAGATTCCTTTGGGGTCTCCGAACGACTGCAATGGCGCTTCCTCTTACGTGAAGCCGTTTTGCGTAAACCGCGCGGGGGTCCTTTTCTCTCGCCCTTGTAAGGTCGATATTGGGGGTCCTCTTTTGCCAAGCGCCTCTCTGTTTTCTGATATCCTGATGGCTAGATTAGTAGCAGATTCATGGACTAGTAGCTTGTGTGGCACATCTCTCATTTCGTCGCGGTGCCTCCCGGTATTCGCAGCTCGACTTGAGTAGAGGACGCGTTCCGTACGTCTATACGATTCCGAGTTTTGAGGTGCTGACAGGCTCTGTTGGGCGGGCGCGTCGGCAATTTCTAGGTTCAGCAAGTTTGTTCATCGGGCTTCCAGTCCCGTGGTTTGTCCTCGGGTTGGTGCCGGCGAGGAGTATTTGCAAATCCGAGCGAATTTAGATCTTCGAGTAGCCTTAGGCATTTCTGTTTACCTTTCCGGTAGGTAGTTCCTAGCTAATTGCTCTCAAACCGCTATATTTCGAGAAACTTCCGGCTTTAGCCCGTTTCATGCGTTTATGGCTTATTTTCGCGTCGTGTTCAGAATATCTGTGCTCCCGCGTGTTTTGGCGCTGCCGCTTGGACTTCATCCAAGGCTGGCGCGGTTAGATTCTTGCCTGGGTTTAGCATAGGTAACACTGAACCTCGTTCTCTGTAGCGCCAAATTCGTGGACTTCACTTCCTTCCATCGGAAGCGAGTAAAAATATAGTTCAGCATCTGAAGCCGGAATCATATGCTAAGCCTTAAAAAATCGAGAGGAAGATTCGGTGAGCATCACAGATTGGGTTTTTTCTGAGACCTCTCAGGAGACGAGAGCAAGACTCGGTCAGCATCAGAAACTCGAATCGCGACGATTTCGAATTCACCGGTTCCCAGCATGCTTCCTAGCAGTGTCGTGGTAAGCAATAGGCGACCCATTTGACGGATTCTTCCCATGATGGTTCTTGTCGAGGCGTCTTGAAAGCCCTGCATGCGTTCTAGCAGTGTTGTGAGTGTTTTACTTTTAGAATTCTCCTCCACCCGCATCTCTCCGCCCGCCTGTCTCTCCCGCTACTCATCCCATTTCCCCGTTTCCTCCTTCTTCCTCTCTCCCCGTTCCGCAGCGCGAGCTTCTCAAGACTCGTCTGCTACAGCCGGCGGACATAGCAGGGGGACCCGCCTGTCTCCCCCCCCTCCTCCGCGCCCACCCCCACGTCGCCCCCCGCATCATCTCCGCCCTCCTCACCTTCTGCGTTCCCCCCCAAGACGGGAGATGGGGGGAGGGCCGGGAGGCCAGGCGGGACTGGGGGAGAGGCTGGGGGGGGGAGGGCATGGGGGGAGGGCTGGACGGGCGGAGAGAGAGCGGAGATGCAAGGGGCGGGGGAAGAGGGGGAGCAGGTGGGGGAGGAGGAGGAGCAGGAGTGGGGAACGAGTTTGGCGGTGTTGACACTTCTTTCTTAGATGAGGCAGTTGAAGCGGTTATGGCTTTAAGTGGTGGTCGCGTGGGCTTTAATCTCGATCTGGATTCTCTAGCCATGGTGAAAGAAGCCTTTTCCGGCGCTGTGGATTGGATTCTCTGGGCGGCATGCGGATCCGATCCAGAATCTGCACTGGCAGCTCTCGGCCAATCAGGAGCGTCGGGGGTATGCGGGGCGGTATGGGGTGCGAGCGACATAGCATATAGATGCCGAACGTGTGAACATGACCCTACCTGTGCCATATGTGTTCCCTGCTTTCTAGACGGGGACCACGAGGGGCATGATTACGCGATGATCAAAACGGGGGGTGGATGCTGCGACTGCGGCGATCCAACGGCCTGGAAGCGCCAGGGGTTCTGTAAGAAGCATCCTGGGCCTGGGCACGCCCCGCCCCTCCCGGAAAGTTTTGTCGCCCGGGCAGAGCCGGTGCTGGCTGCGGTTGCTGCGGAATGGCAGCAGAAAATAGTTTTTGCTGCCCGGCTGGAGGAGGAACGGAGTGGAGGCGCAGCAGGGTGGGGGGGTTCTGGGTTTGGGTTTGGAAGTGGGAGAAGCGGGGGAGGGGGAGGAGGAGGGGGAGGGGGAGGCGGAGGCGGAGGGAGAGGCGGGACAGCGGGAAGCAGTATGAGCTCGTTGCTAGGTTCACTCACAGGAGGTGTGGGGGGGTCAGGAGGATGGATGAGTGGTAACGATGGGTTCAGAGGATCCTCCTCATCTTTCTCCCCCTCCCCCTCCTCTTCCTCCTCTTCAGCGTTATCAGCAGCAGCGCGGCTGAGAGCAGCGAAGAACGAGGCAGCAGCAGCAACTGAGAGGTTCTCGGAGATGTTCTTAAGACTGGCTAGCACCAGTGAAGGCCTGCTGCACCTCGTGTCGTCCGTGCTCACCAGGAAATGCCCCATCCCCGTTATTGCCCGCCCTGATACAGTCCCGTTGGGATTCCACCCGACCAGCACGGCCGTTACTCCCACTTCTGTCGCTACCCTTACAGCTGTTGCCCCTACTGGTTCTATCTCTGCTCCTGGCTCATCCCATGCACTCTCCATTTCGGCTCCTGTCGGCCCGAGCTCACTGCTCAGCCCACCAGCTGGGTCGTCTCTCCCAGCATTGTCACATCCCTCAGTGTCACATCCCTTAGTGCCACCTCCCCCAGCCTCACCTCCCTTTGTCACTGCTGCTGCTGCTGCTGCTGCATCCGCCAGTCTGTTGGAAGCGCTGGTGGCAAATGAGGAGGGTATTAAAGAGGATTCCATGCTTGTCGCCCACCGTCTGCTCTACAAGCTCCTAGGCGACCCGGGCTTTAAGTACCAGTTCGCACTCTCGTTCGTCGCTAATTACTCGGCCTTCGTGCTGGGGAGTGAGGGGAGGGGAGACGGGGAGGAGGACGGGGGGAGGTGGGGGGGCGGGGGCGCGCGGGGGAGCAGGGGACGGAGGGGGCGGGGAGCGGCCGGGAGTGGGAGTGCAGGGAATAGGGTGTCGATATTGGAGAGCTTTTCGGTGCAGATTCTTACAGTGCCGGTGCTGACGCCGAGGCTCGTGGTGGAGGCTCGGCTGCTGGATATCCTGCTGGGTACCCTGCAGAGCATGCTGCAGGGGGCTCTGGGCCGAGATGGGCGCATCAATGTGAGTTGCGGGTCTGTCCTGAGAACATTTAGAATCTGAGATACGCTTGGGTTGAGAATGCTTAGAAGAGGCTCGGCTGCTGGATATCCTGCTGCTGGGGTACCTGCAGAGCATGGTGCAGGGTACCTGCAGAGCATGCTGCAGGGTACCTGCTGCAGAGCATGCTGCAGGGTACCTGCTGCAGAGCATGCTGCAGGGTACCTGCTGCAGAGCATGCTGCAGGGTACCTGCTGCAGAGCATGCTGCAGGGTACCTGCTGCAGAGCATGCTGCAGGGTACCTGCTGCAGAGCATGCTGCAGGGTACCTGCTGCAGAGCATGCTGCAGGGTACCTGCTGCAGAGCATGCTGCAGGGTACCTGCTGCAGAGCATGCTGCAGGGTACCTGCTGCAGAGCATGCTGCAGGGTACCTGCTGCAGAGCATGCTGCAGGGTACCTGCTGCAGAGCATGCTGCAGGGTACCTGCTGCAGAGCATGCTGCAGGGTACCTGCTGCAGAGCATGCTGCAGGGTACCTGCTGCAGAGCATGCTGCAGGGTACCTGCTGCAGAGCATGCTGCAGGGTACCTGCTGCAGAGCATGCTGCAGGGTACCTGCTGCAGAGCATGCTGCAGGGTACCTGCTGCAGAGCATGCTGCAGGGTACCTGCTGCAGAGCATGCTGCAGGGTACCTGCTGCAGAGCATGGTGCAGGGGTCGCGTGATCGACGGCGCTCGCTGCATTCGCCGCGAACGCCGTCATTCGCCGTCATCTATCTCCCACTTTTTTTGCTTCATTTGCCGTTCTCCCGCCTCCCAATCCCCCGCTCCCCCGTTTTCTCCCATCTCCCTCAGCTGTCCCGAGAGGAGGTGCACAATGGGCGAGTGACCGACGACATTTGCTACGTTCCCTCCCACTCCGCCTCCTCATGCGCTTTCCTCTCTTCTCTTACCTATCCCCACTCTCCCCCCCCTCAGTTATCCCGAGAGGAGGTGCACAACGGGCGAGTGACCGACGATATTCGCTACGTCCTCTCCCACTCCGCCTCCTCCCGCCACGTCACCGCCCGCCGCCCGGACCTGCTGCGCGCGTGGCTGCGCCAGCTGGCGGCCGCCCAGGGCATGTGTCCACATGTGCGGCGCACAACCACCCACGTGGCAATAGAGCCTGACGATTGGAGCTTCGCCTACCTGTTAGAAGCACAGCTGGCGACTGTCAACCCGCTGCTCGCCGAAGCTAGCGCCGTGCCTGAGCTGGAGGCTCGGAAGGAGGCTCGGCAGGTGGAGGGAGGGTCGGGAGGGGAGAAGGGGGGAGGAGAGAAGGTAGGGGAGAAGGCGGCTGAAGGGGGTGGGTTCCCGGGGTTGGGGTTTGGGAGGAGGAAGACGTTGAGATGGTTTGTGGATGAGGATGCAGGGCAGCAGGCGGGCCAGCATGCAGTGGGGCAACAAGGGCAGCAAGGGAAACAGGCAGGGCAGGCGGTGTTAGGGCTTGGCAGTGGCAGTGGCAGAGGCAGAAGCGACGACGGTACGTCAACAGCAGCAGGAGAGACCATCCCTGGGGATGGGGGTTGGGGGGGTGGTGGTGTTGACCTGGATGCTGCAACCGGCTGGAAGGCAGAGGGTTTTGACCCAGAGGCTTATGTGGATGACTGGGGAGAGACAGACGCAGACACACACACATACCTGCCGCCCCGAGCCTGCGAGGTTCGGCAGGTGGCGGCGAGGTTCGGCGTGCCTCCGGCGCTGGTGCGGCTGCTGCACGAGTGTGCGTGGGTGCTGGCGCGGTGGGTGGCAGTGGAGGGGTTGAGGTCACTGGGGTCAGCGTTTGGGAGCGGGGCAAGCAGTGTGGAGGCTCTCAGACTGCTTGGCCTTACTAGGTCACCATTCTCTTCGTTTCCGACTGGCGCTGCTGGGAATGCTGGTGGTGCTGCTGGTGATGCTGCTGCTGCTGCCCCTGCTGGTACTGCTGGCGGTGGTGCTGCTGGTGCGGGTGCTGCTGCTGGTGGTGGTGCTGGTGCGACGGCAATGAGAGGCATGAGGCAGCTGGGGCAGCTGGGTCTGTTACCAGGTGCAGCAGCAGCAATGGCTCGAATCACCTCCCCTTCCCACCCGCCCCGCCCAACTCCCCCCTCCGCTTCCCCGCCCTCGCCTCTGCTAACCCCTCTGTCTGCCACAGGTAGACTCTCTGGTGAAGGCTTGTCTGGGGAAGGTGGATCCGGGGGAGGAGCTGCTGGTGGGGGTAGGGCTAGGGGGGTATCAGCTCCTTCGCTGACTGCTTCTGCTTTGGATCAGCAGCAGCAGCAGCTAGAGGGTCAGCAGCAGCAGCAGCAGGGGCAGCAGCAGGTGCAGCTACAGTCGTCCGTTCTGGTGCATGCCCCAGGAGCATCTCTGCTGTCCTTCAAGTGGGCCCAGGACGAACTGAAGAGCCTTGCCTCAGAGGCAGCTGCTGCTGCTGCAGCAGTTACAGCAGAGAAGGCGGGTGGAGGAGGAGGGGCTGTGGGTGGTCGAAGCAGTATAGCAGGTGATGCAGGGGAAGCAGGAGCAGTAGGAGGAGGAGGAAGAGGAGCAGGAGGCGGAGGGGGAGGGGCAGCAGGAGGCAGCGGCGCCAGTCCAGTGGGGCGGGCAGGGAGGTTCCTATCGGGCATGGCCGCAGCAGCAGGGGCGGCAGCTGCTGCTGTGGGGGGCAGAACCACAGGAGCAGGCAGTCCGGGCGCTAGAGGGGGAAGTCCAGGGGGATTGGGGCAAGAGAGAGGGGCCACAGCAGGAGCAGAGGCTGTGCCTGTGCTTGGGCTTGAAGGGTTGGGAAGACGGGGAGGGGAAGGGGGTGGGGGAGGAGCGGAAGCAGGGGTGGGTGCTGGGTCAGGGGCGGGTGCAGGGCTGGGTAGAGTGGGTTTGAGAGATGGGGAGGGAAATGCTGCTGCTGTTGCTGCTGCCGCTGCTGCCTCTCCTGCTGCTGGTGCTGGCACAGGAAGGGGAGGGGAAGAGCGTGCAGGACAGGAGGAAGGGGACGTGAACCACACGCAGAGAGGGCACATGGGGATCCTAAGCACGTGGCTTAGAAGGGCGTCTAGATTCAGGGCGACAGGAGGGGAAGAGGCACAGGGGACCCAGGGCAGGCATGCAGGGGCAGGTGAAGCAGCAGGCACGGAGGCAGCATGGGCAGACGTAGGTGCAGGTGCAGAGGCAGGAGGGGCAGGAGGAGGGGAAGCAGCGGCAACAGCCATGCAGACAGATTCGTTGGTAGCAGCAGAGGCTGTCCCTCTCTCTGCTGCTCTCCCCCCCTCCGCCGCCCCTCCTCTCTCTGCTGCTGCCGCTGGTGCTCTCAACGCTCTGAACAGCCCCTGCTGGTGGGTGGGGCGGCAGCAGCTGTCGCTTCTGGAGGGGCTGCTGCCGTTCCCTCCCCCCCGGATGGAGCATGGGGACAAGCTGTGTGACTCACTGCACAACGTGCCAGGGGACATGCTAGAAGATGGGGCTTGGGAAGAAAAAGGGGCTGCAGCAGAGGCAGGGCGAGGGGCAGGGGCAAAGGCAGGGGCGGGGGCAGCATCAGGGGCAGGAGGACACTTTGTCATGGGAACAGAGGGGGCGGAGGCGAGTTCTGTGTCAAAGAGGCCTGTGGCCGGGACTGAGAGTGGGCTGGAGTGGCCAGTGGTGGAGTACGATGTGGGGCGGCAGGAGGTGTCGTTTCACCTGCCTCTGCACCGCATGCTCGCGCTGCTCCTGCACTCCCTGCTGCGCCTCTCCTGCCCCGTGCCTGACCCCCAAGGGGATGCACAGGGGGACGGACTGGGGGCTACAGGGAGGGACCCACAGGCGGATCTACAGGGGTACGCACAGGGGGACACACATGATGCGAGGGAAGAGAGGCAGAGGGAGAGAGAGCAGGAGGGGGGTGGAGGAAGGGGGGAGGGGGCAGAGCTGTGCTTGCTGCGGCTGCTGCCCAGCAAGCTGCAGAGAGGAAGCTTCCTCGCAGCTGTGGCTGAGCACGGGCTGCGAGTGCAAGTGCTGTGCGCGCAGATATCAGCGGGCATGTGGAGGAGGAATGGGCAATCCATGGTGGCTCTCTGCGACCTCTACCACTCCGTGCACTGGTCAGTCTTCACTAAATTCTGCCACCTCGCTCTCTGTTCCTCCCCGCCCCGCCCTCTGTGGGGTGCTGCCACCTCGCTCTCTGCGACCTCTACCACTCCGTGCACTGGTCAGTCTAGTAATTGGTTGGTCGTTTCTGGTCGTAAAACCCATGTCAGTCTCTTCATAACCCCCCTCTCCACATCACATGGCATCGCATCGCATTGATTCTCGTCACATCACATGCCATGGCATCATCATGTGTATCCCACCAGGTGCGAGGACAGCCTCGAGTTGGACCTCTTTCTGCTGCAGTGCACCGCTGTCTCGGCCCCTCAACTTGCTAACCCCTCTTTCCCCGCACATGCCCTGCCATGCCACGTCGTGCTATCATGCGTGTGTATCCCACACCAGGTGCGAGGACAGCCTCGAGTTGGACCTCTTCCTCCTGCAGTGCACCGCCGTCTCTGCCCCTCCTGACGCCTCTCCTCTCAAGTTCTATGCGGTCGTCATAACGCACCCCCCCACCCCCCCAAACCCCTCTTTCCCCTCACATGCCCTGCCATGCCACGTCGTGCTATCATGCGTGTGTATCCCACACCAGGTGCGAGGACAGCCTCGAGTTGGACCTCTTTCTCCTGCAGTGCACCGCCGTCTCTGCCCCTCCTGACGCCTCTCCTCTCAAGTTCTATGCGGTCGTCATAACGCACCCCCCCACCCCCCCAAACCCCTCTTTCCCCTCACATGCCCTGCCATGCCACGTCGTGCTATCATGCGTGTGTATCCCACACCAGGTGCGAGGACAGCCTCGAGTTGGACCTCTTTCTCCTGCAGTGCACCGCCGTCTCTGCCCCTCCTGACGCCTCTCCTCTCAAGTTCTATGCGGTCGTCATAACGCACCCCCCCACCCCCCCAAACCCCTCTTTCCCCTCACATGCCCTGCCATGCCACGTCGTGCTATCATGCGTGTGTATCCCACACCAGGTGCGAGGACAGCCTCGAGTTGGACCTCTTTCTCCTGCAGTGCACCGCCGTCACGGCCCCTCCTGACCCCTCTCCCCCCAATTTCTATGCGATCAACCCCTCTTTTCATGCAATCTCATGCCATGCCATGCCATGCCTATCCCACCAGGTGCGAGGACAGCCTCGAGTTGGACCTCTTTCTGCTGCAGTGCACCGCCGTCACGGCCCCTCCTGACGCCTTTGTGCGCCAGGTTGTAGCGCGCTACAGCCTTACCAGCTACTTCTCCCTCACCGTGGGGACTGCCTCAGAGTAAGTCAACAGCATGATTCCTACAGTGCAGCAGTGGCAGCGCACTGGGAAGGAAAATCTTACCTACCCAGTACACTGAGGGATTTTTTGAGAATTCTCAAAAAATCTTACCTACCCAGCACACTGAGTGATTTTTTTAGAATTCTAAAGAAATCTTACCTACCCAGTACACTGAGTAAGCACGCAGGAGGATTTTCCCAGTGCACCACTGTCTGTCCCCTCATGGCTCGGCTTGACACGTTTGTCCCCCAGGCTGTAGCGCACTACAGCCTGATCTCAGCTCAGAGCAATCCTTCTCCGGCCTCCCCACCCCCTGCTTCCTCCACCCCTCTCCACTCTCTCCTCTCTATTCCCCCAACCCATCTCAATCCCCCCAAACATTAGGTACGAGCCTGCAGTGGCCTAGGACTGCCTTGCCTTCCCAATCCGTCCCATCTCAGAGCGATCCTTCTCCGGCCTCCCCCCCACCCCTCTTCCATTCTCTCCTCCTCTGTTCCCCTCCATCCCCTTCGACCCCCAATCCAACCGTACAGGTACGAGCCTGCAGTGGCACAGGACTGCATGGCCTTCCTCATCCGCCTCATCTCAGAGCGATCCTTCTCCGGCCTCCCCCCCACCCCTCTTCCATTCTCTCCTCCTCTGTTCCCCTCCATCCCCTTCGACCCCCAATCCAACCGTACAGGTACGAGCCTGCAGTGGCACAGGACTGCATGGCCTTCCTCATCCGCCTCATCTCAGAGCGATCCTTCTCCGGCCTCCCCCCCACCCCTCTTCCATTCTCTCCTCCTCTGTTCCCCTCCATCCCCTTCGACCCCCAATCCAACCGTACAGGTACGAGCCTGCAGTGGCACAGGACTGCATGGCCTTCCTCATCCGCCTCATCTCAGAGCGATCCTTCTCCGGCCTCCCCCCCACCCCTCTTCCATTCTCTCCTCCTCTGTTCCCCTCCATCCCCTTCGACCCCCAATCCAACCGTACAGGTACGAGCCTGCAGTGGCACAGGACTGCATGGCCTTCCTCATCCGCCTCATCTCAGAACGATCCTTCTCAGGCCTACCCCCCACCGCGGCCCTCCGGAGGGAGATAGTGCAGCGCCTAGCCATCGGCAACGCCACCCTCCCTCGCCCCCTTCTCACCCCCTCCTTTTTTGTCTCCCCAACATCCACACACCTCCTCTTTCTCACCACCTGCCCTCCATCCCTTGTTGTAATTGTACACTATATACAACATTCATAGGCTAGAATAGGTGTAGTCCTTTAGGTTCTTGTGGGGTTGGGTGTACACTCCAACCACACTTTGTGGTTGGTCAAGATTGGATTTGGTCTTGGCCCTTGGTTGGCACTTGCCAACTTTTGGTCCTTAGACCAACCAATCCCAACCTAGCCACATTGTGAGGTTGCCTACTCCACAAGGCACCTCACCCATTGGCCAACTTATTGGCCAATAGGGTTAGCTCCTCCTACAACCTTCTCTTCCTTGCATGCTTGTATTATAGAGCCTTGTTGGCTCATTACTAATCATACTCTTGAATTCTATCATGGTATCCAGAGCCAAATGGCTCACGCCGTCCTCTCTCGATCCTTAGACTGTTTTTTACTCCCCGCTCCTCTACCCTAGCGGATATGACATACATCCGCCCTCCCGCACCTCAGATCTAGCCTTCCGCGGCTCAGTACCGCCCTCCCGCACCTCAGATCTAGCTTTCCGCGGCTCAGATCTACTCCTCCGCGGCCTCAATTCTCCCTCCCACGGCCTCAATCCTCCCTCCCGCGGCCTCAATCCTCCCTCCCGCGGCCTCAATCCTTCCTCCCGCGACCCTAATCCTCCTTCCCGCGGCTCTGCCCGCCGTCGCGGACGACCGACGCGCCGTCGCGGACGACCTGCGCGCCGACGCGGATGGTCAGCGCGCTGTCGCCAGCGACCTGCGCGCCGACGCAGCCGGCCAGCGCGCAACCGCTGACGACCCGCGCGCTGACGCGGACGGCCAGCGCGTGACCGCCGACGACCCGCGCGCTGACGCGGACGGCCAGCGCGCAACCGCCCGAGCCGCGCGCTGACGCAGACGGCCAGCGCGCGACCGCCGACGAGCCGCGCGCTGACGCGGACGGCCAGCGCGCGGCCCCGAACGACCCGCGCGCCGACGCGGACGGCCAGCGCGCGGCCGCCGACGACCCTGCGCCGACGCGGACGGCTGGCGCGGAGCCGCGGCTGACCTGCGCGCCGTCGCGTTCGGCTGCCCGCGACCTCCACGACCCCGCAACCCTAATCCTCCCTCCTCCCCCTATCCTGCCCCACACCCGCGCCCCTCCCCACACTTCCGCACCAGCCTCTCTTCCCCCCCCCTACCTCCTCCCCCTACTCCACCCTTAACGGCAGCGGCAGCAGCGGCGGCAGCAGCAGCAGCATCGGCGCCGGCAGCAGCAGCAGCATCGGCGGCGGCAGCAGCAGCGGCATCGGCGGCGGCAGCAGCAGCGGCAGCAGCAGCGGCACCGGTAGCGGCAGCAGCAGCGGCACCAGCACCGGCAGCAGCGGCATCAGCAGCGGCGCCTTCACCACTCCGCCGTCATGGCGTCGTCGGACTCATCGGTCGATCTAGCGACCATTGACGCTCTCGAGCTGCTGGGCGACAACTCGGCCGCCAACTGGCACTCCTATGCTCACTCCGTCGAGGTGTTGCTCTCCTCGGTCATCGTCAGCGGATATACCCTCCGCTCCGTCGTGTTCCAGGAGGAGGGTGGACTCCAGCCCATCGCTCCTTCCGCCCCCACTGGACCTGCTCCCGATGAGCCCGGACCCGAACCCGAGCCTCCTGGTGATCCCCCCTCCTTCGCGCCGGATGTTCACAACCCACAAAGCGTGGAGTCTGCCATTCGTGCCTATCGCACCTCACTCAACGACCACCTTCGCCGCCAACTGCGCTACGACGATGACAAGCGCATCTACGACAGTGCTGCTGCCCTCCACCGTGAATACCAAGCCCAGTTCACCACTTACACTACCCGCCTCACCACCTACACCACTGATATCGCAGCGTGGCGCGTTGCTGATCGTCGCGCCCTCGCTATCCTCCTCGCCACCATCCCCTCCTCCCTCAAACGAGAGCTCTCCCCCACCTCCTCCTCCCACCTGTGGCAACTGTTAGTCGACCTCTTTGACCGACAGGACATCGCCACTCTCTATGCACTCATTAAGGAATTCGGATCCATCACCATGGATTCCACCGCCGGCGCAGCTGCCTTTACTCGCCGAGTCCTTGACCTCGCTCGCCGCCTTGCAGCGCTCGGTGTTGTCTACCCTGACACCGTCATCTGCTGCCACCTTCTCGAGGGTCTCACCCCTGCCTTCGATGCCCATAAGCTGGCATACATGCAGCTCCTCTCCAAGCATGACACTCCCGCTCAAGTTGCGCAATGGATCATCACCACTGAAGCTGAAATCCTGCGCCACTCCTCCTCCACTGCCGCAGCAGCACAGCAGCGCAGCAGCAAAGGCGGGCGTGGGGGGGGGCGTGGAGGTGGGCGTGGTGGTGGTCGAGGCGGCTCTGGCGGTCGTGGTGGTGCGGGTCGTGGTGCAGCGGCGGCCTTCCCACCCTGTCAGTATCTTCCCCTCTATGGCCCCACCCGAGGCCAACGCTGCAATCAAACCACTCATGCGACTGAGACGTGCTTCAAGGCACTCAGCGATGAGTGGTTCGCTCGTGGGAACTCTGGCACCCCTCCTCGCTGGTCCGCCCTCAACCCCCGCCCCACTCCCCTGGATGTCCGCACCTCTCCCCTCTACGCCCCTTCCTCCTCCTCCCAGGCCCACCAGGCCTTTGCTCTCCCCTCTCACCAGCAGCAGCAGCAGCAGCAGCAGCAGCACCAGAGTGTCCAGCAGCAGGGGCCGCAGCAGTACGGGCAGCAGCTTCATCAGCTCCAGCAGCAGCTTCAGCAGCTCCAGCAGCAGCTTGACCTCCAGCCCCAGCTTCCTCTCCTCCCTCCTCCACCTGTCCCCCAGCAGCAGCCGTTTCCCAGCTGGACCGCCGGGAATGTGGCCTCCGCGGCCCACCTCTCCGGTCCATCCCCTGCGCCGTCTACAGGTGGCAGTGTGACCCCCTTTCCCTCCTCTGGCTTTGTTGGTCTGCTTAGTCAGCCTCCTTCCGTTGCATCCCCTATGTATGCCCCTGCTATTAATGAAACTTCCATTCAGTACTCCGCCTCACCCTCCTCCACCCTTGAGTTCGTCTTGGACAGTGGAGCCACTGACAATGTCTTTCGCGATGCCGGAAAACTCCATCCTCTCCCCACACCCACGTCCCTCCTTGGCGCTGATAGCAGCTTTTCCATCCCCTGTCACAACACGTCCACCCTTCCCTGTCCTCTCTTTCCCTCAGGTACTGTCACAGGTCTTCACATTCCCTCCCTTCGCACCAACCTCCTCTCCCAAAGGTCCCTCCAACAATCCATGATCACCACTGTCACCCCAGGTGGTGCTAACCATTGTGACCTTTACCAAACCTCCACAGGTCACTTCCTCTCTCGCATTCCCTACTGTCCCCGCTCCCGTCTGTACACCCTTCGGGTTCCCCGCCCCCTCACCTTCCAAGTTGCCTCCCCTCCCCTCCTCCCCCCCCCTCCTCCCCTCCCTCCCACTAACCCACCCGTCCCCCCCCGCCCCCCTGACTCTGCCTGCACATGTCGCTCCCTCTCTCACCCTGCCATCCTTCTCCATCACAGGCTAGGCCACCCCAACTTCGCTACTCTGCGCTCCTCTGTCTCCTCAGGTCTCCTCCACGGTCTCCCCTCCTCCCTCCCTCCCCTACCCAAATCCCCTGCCCCCCCTTGCGCCGTCTGTGTTCAGAGCAAGCTCAAGCAGCAGCCGCACCGGAGCTCCCCCTCCGCTGCTGCCCAGCCACTTGACCTTGTTCACATGGACCTCTGGGGCCCTAATCCCTCTCCCACTCGCCAGGGCCATCGCTACCTTCTCGTGCTCGTCGATGATCACAGTCGGTACTCGTCCGTCTCTCTCCTTCGAACGAAGGCGGACGCCCCGCCTGCGATCATTGCCTGGCTCAAACAAGCGAACACCCATTTTGGGCGCCCTGTTCGCCGCCTTCACTCTGATGGTGGCGGTGAGTTCCTTAACAACCTAATCTCCTCCTATTGCCAATCCCGCGGCATTCTTCAGACTTACACCCTCCCACACTCCCCACAGCAGAACGGTGTCGCTGAGAGCCGTGTTCGGGAGATCACCAAAACCGCTCGGTGTCTTCTTGTCCACGCCTCATGCCCCCCTTCTCTGTGGGGCTATGCCCTCCTTCATGCCGCCCTCCTTACTAACCTTTACCCTCACCCCCTCCTCCCCTCCACCACCCCCACTGAGCTATGGACAAAGACCAAACCCGATGTCTCCCCTCTTCGAGTCTGGGGCTCAAAGGCATATGTCCTCATTCACCCGTCTGACCGATCCCGTTCGCTGGGAAAGCTTGCCCCTCGTACCCTTCCTTGCATTTTCCTTGGTCATAACCCCTCTTCCCCCGACTATCTTTTCCTCCACCCCCCTTCCGGTCGACTATTTCGCAGCAGAGATGTCGTCTTTGACGAATCCACCCCGTACTATTCCTCTCCTCCGTCCACTGACCCTCTCCCACCTCTGACTCGTCCCCTTGTCTGGTCTGACACCACCCCTCCCCCTCTCCTCCCTCCTCCCCCCATCCTCCCACCCCCTCCCCCTCCGCCCTCCCAGTCCCACGGTGTCCCCCCCTCGTCTGGTGACATCTTTGACCCGGACCCCCTGTCTTCCCCTGTCTCCCCCGCTCACTCCTCCCCTGGTGCCCCTCCTCCCCCTCCCTCCCAACCCTCACCTCCCTCCCCCACTCCCCGCGCCATACTCACCCGGTATCCTCACACCAGGTCACGTGACAGTATCCTTGGTGCACCGCCCCCTGTTACCCTCTCTACCTCTACCCTCCCTCCTCTTTCCCCCCTCCTTCACTACTTCTTCCAGGCTGTCTTGCATCCAGCCCCCTCAACCACCTCTCCAGCAGCAGCAGCAGCAGCTCCAGCAGCAGCCACCGCAGCGGCACCAGCAGCGGCGAGTGCAGCGGCAGCAGCGGCATCGGCAGCGGCACCAGCAGCAGCATCCGCACCAGCACCAGCAGCGGCACCAGCAGCGGCACCAGCAGCGGCACCAGCAGCGGCACCTGCGGTCATCCGCGCCTTCCACACCTCCCTCTCTGAGGACTCCCATGAGGAGTTCCTTGACCTCCACCTCTCTGACCCCTCCCTCCTTCCCATCACCTTTGACCTCTCTGGAACACCAGTCTTCGCCTTTTCCTCTGCTCCCTCCACCTTCATCCCAACCACGTATGAGGAGGCCATGGCTTGCCCCGACGCCCCGCTCTGGCTCGCCGCCATCATCAAGGAGCTCGAGGCATTTATTGCCAACTCCTCCTTCGTTGATGTGCCTCGCCCTCCCTCCTCTACGAACGTGGTAAAGGGGAAGTGGGTGTTTCGCGTCAAACAGCTACCAGGAGAGCCGCCCGTCTACAAGGCCCGGTATTGCGCCAAGGGCTTCACGCAGCGGTATGGCTTTGACTTCTTCGACACCTTCTCCCCCACCGCCAAACCTGCTACCGTTCGCGCCGTACTCGACCTCGCCGCTCGCCTCAACATGGAGATCCACTCGATGGATGTCTCCAACGCCTTCCTACAAGGCGTGCTACGTGAACTGATCTACATGGAGCGCCCAGCGGGCTTCCACCTCCCCTTCCCCGCCGACTCCGTCTGGCAGCTGCGCCGACCAGTGTACGGGCTCCGCCAGGCACCCAGGGAATGGCATGCCAAGCTTGCTGCCACCCTTGCCGAGCTTGGGTTTCACACCTCCCGCTCTGACGCCAGCCTCTTCCTCCGCACCTCCCCCTCCCCCTTCTACATCCTCGTCTATGTTGACGATATGATTCTCCTCACCGCCGATCTTGCCGAGCTCGAGAAAGTCAAGACCGAGCTGGGCACACGGCTCAAGTGCAAAGATTTGGGAGAGCTGCAGCACTACCTCGGCATGACCATCACTCGCGACCGCTCCGCCCGCACCATCTCCCTCTCTCAGGGTCACTATCTCCAGCAAGTCTTGGACCGGTTTGAAATGGCGCGCGGCAGCCCCCAGCCCACTCCACTCTCAGTTGGGCACCACCTCTCCCCACCCTCCTCACCCTCTGCCTCCTCCCATCCTTATCCTGAACTCATCGGCTCTCTCATGTATGCCATGGTTTCCACTCGTCCTGACCTTGCCTACCCCATCAGCGTCCTCGCTCGCTTCGTTGGCGCTGGCAAGCACACAGAGGAACACTGGCAGGCCGCCAAGCGCGTCCTTCGCTACATTCGTGGCACAAAAGACTATGTCCTTACCCTTGGCGGCCCCTCCCATCCCCTCCTCAATGGCTACAGTGATTCTTCCTGGGCTGACTCTCGCCCGGACAGGCGGTCCTCTCAGGGATATGGCTTCTCTCTGGGTAGCGGTCTCATCAGCTGGCGGTCCACACGCTCTTCTGCCGTCGCCCTCTCCTCCTGCGAAGCAGAGCTCTACGCTGCAACCATGGCTGCGCAGGAGGCGCGCTGGCTCACCTTCCTCCTCGATGAGCTTGGTGCACCCCAGCGTTGTCCCACAATCTGGTGTGACAATGCCAGCACCATTCACCTCACTAAGGATGCTGTGTATCATGGGCGTTCCAAACACATTGAACTTCGCTACTTCTTCATTCGTGATCTCGTTGAGGCCGGGCACCTTCGCCTTGGCAAGATCGACTCGGCGGCCAACCTCGCTGACATCTTCACTAAAGCTTTTCCCCAAGCACCTCACTCCTTCTTTCTGCGTCTCCTTGGCCTCACCCCTCCTCCAGTTGTGACGGCCTCCTGATTACATCTTCTAGCCTTATGCATGTTGGGGGGTTGTGTTGTAATTGTACACTATATACAACATTCATAGGCTAGAATAGGTGTAGTCCTTTAGGTTCTTGTGGGGTTGGGTGTACACTCCAACCACACTTTGTGGTTGGTCAAGATTGGATTTGGTCTTGGCCCTTGGTTGGCACTTGCCAACTTTTGGTCCTTAGACCAACCAATCCCAACCTAGCCACATTGTGAGGTTGCCTACTCCACAAGGCACCTCACCCATTGGCCAACTTATTGGCCAATAGGGTTAGCTCCTCCTACAACCTTCTCTTCCTTGCATGCTTGTATTATAGAGCCTTGTTGTCTTATTACTAATCATACTCTTGAATTCTATCATCCCTCCCCCCCCGACCCTCACCATACAGGTACGAGCCGGCAATAGCTCAGGACTGCATGGCCTTCCTCATCCGACTCATCTCAGAACGATCCTTCTCCGGCCTCCCCCCCACTGCGGCCCTCCGGAGGGAGATAGTGCAGCGCCTAGCCTAGCCATCGGCAACGCCACCCTCCCTCTCCACCCCTTCCATCCCCTCATTTTTTTTTGTCTCCCCCACACCACACACCCCCTTCTCCCTCTCTACCCCCGGCCTTTTATCCTTAACCCCTACCCCCTCCCCACCTCCGCTCCCCCCTCCCTGTCTCCCACCATACAGGTACGAGCCTGCAGTGGCGCAGGACTGCATGGCCTTCCTCATCCGCCTCATCTCTGAGCGATCCTTCTCCGGCCTCCCCCCCACTGCTGCCCTCCGGAGGGAGATAGTGCAGCGCCTAGCCATCGGCAACGCCACCCGCAGCAGCGTCGTCAAGTCCCTCCCCCCCCGCTTCGCTGAAAACCCCGCCATTCCTGCTGTTCTCGCCTCCGTTGCGGATTATTCCCGCCCCTCGGGTATGGAACAGGGGCGGTACTTACTTAAAAGAGACTGTTACCGGGAGCTGGATCTGTACTGCTTAAGATGGGCGCCTAGGGAGTTGCAGCGGGCGGAAGAGAGGTATGCGGATGCGGTTAAGAGATCGGCGGTTGTGGAGCAGACGCCTAGGTGGCGCGATCCTGTCCGTCCGTTGATGGGGCTGCGGGAGATCGCCACGTCAGCGGGCGTGCATGATGTGGTGCTGTCGGTGGTGCTGCACGCGTGGTGGGATGAGGAGGGGCGGGAGATGAGCTACAGAGAAACAGGAGGCAGCAACGGTGTCGGCAGTGGGAGTGGGAGTGGAAGTGGGGGGAATGGGTTAACCCGAGCGTCTGATACTGTGCTGCATGCTGCGTTGCATTTGCTGGCATTGGCTCTTGACACTTGCATGGCTTGGCAGGAAGCTGAGGAGAAGGAAAGGGAGAGAGAGAAGGGGCGGGAAGGGCAGGGAGGAGCTGAGGAAGAGAAGGGAGCAAAGGCAGGGAGAGAGGGTGGTGAGGGTGGTGAGGGTGGTGAGGGTGGTGAGGCAGAAGGGATGATGATGGACGTAGATGGGCGTATGGGAGGGGATACGAGCGGCAGCTGGGATTCAGGGAGAGAAGCAAGAGACGGAGTAGAAGCAAGAGACGGAGCAGAAGCAAGAGACGGAGCAGAAGCAAGAGAGGGAAGAGAAGGGAGGGAAGGAGCAGAGGGTTCAGGTTCAGGCATGGAAGTGGAAGGGGCGGACTGGGTGGCTGGTGATGCTCGTGGTCATGTTGACCCTGCATCTGTGCTGAAAAGACAAAACTGGCCACCCGCTCTCCTATCCCGAGCATGTCAGCCGTTCGAAGCACGGCTCCCTGACAACAGCGGCAGCGGCGGCGGCAGTAGCGGCAGCAGCACTGCCGCGAGTCTGTTCGGCCTGCTGCCAGGAGCAACGCTCTCCTCTCACTGGCTTCGCGCGTCCCACGCTGCCCCGGTCTCCCTGCTTGCTCTCCTCGTGCGCCTCCTGCTGTGCTGGCAGCGGCAGGCAGGGATGAAGCACAGCACCGCTGCTGCTGGTGGCAGTGAAGGGATGGGATTAGGAGTTGGAGATGAAGGTAGGGGGAGGGAAGGCGAGGAGGGACGAGGCACAGCAGTTGGGGAGAGGTCAGGCGGAGCAGGAAGGGGGGAAGGGGGTGAGGGACGGGCGGAGCTGCATGTTTTGGTGCTGCGGCTGCTTAAGCGTTTCGCTCAGCTAAGCGACGAGTGCAGGAGGGCTCTGGAGGTGCTTTGCCCGGAGGAGTTTGATAAGGGGAAGGGGAAGGCAGTGGTTGCAGGGGGTGGGGGGGGAGCTGGGGAAGCGGGGGAGGCAGCGGCAGCAAGGGCAGGAGGAGCAGGAGGAGCAGGGGGAGCAGGTGTGGGGGGTGAGGGCGGTGTGGGAGTAGGGGGCAGTGAGACAGAGGTTGGAGAGAGTGGGAGGGGAAGTGGTGGTGGTGGCGGGGGTGGTGAGGAGAAGGGAGAGGGCGGGACGTTGAGTGAAGCCGATGCAAAGAAGGCGTTTGCTCGGGCGAGGCAGCAAGCGCTGCTGGTACGTGCAGTGCACTTCTCAAAACACCATTCTACAGCACGAGTTGTAACGCTGGGAACAACTACACCTCTTTTTTTTTTTTTTTTTTGTTACTGCGTTTGAAAATGATTCGAATATCTTACTGTTACGATACGAGCCTTCCTTTTTATTCTTGCTTTTCGTTGCCCTTGACAATCAGGCAAAAATGCGGGCAGCACAGCAAAGATTCGCAGCAAGCATGAGTCAAGGCAAAGGAAAGGAGGAGGATGAGGAAGAGGAAGAGGAAGAAGAGGAGGAGAAGAAGGGGGAGCAGGAGACAGGGGGGTGGGAGTATGGACGAGATGTGGACATGGGAGGGGGTGAGGAGGAGGAGGGGAGGAAGAGAGGGAAGAGGCGGAAGGGGAAGGCGGTGGTGGTTGAGGAAGAGGAGGAGAGGGAGTGTGTGCTGTGCAGGGAGGGAGACAAGGGGGGGACTGCCTCTCCCCTCTGCCACATTGTTTTCTGTCAGGTGGGTGCTGGGCTCGCTGCTTAATGTCAGGTGCTGCTCTGTTGCCTGTCAAGTGCTGCTCTGTTGCCTCCCAGGTGCTGCTCTATTGCCTGTCAGGTGCTGCTCTGTTGCCTGTCAGGTGCTGCTCTGTTGCCTGCCAGGTGCTGCTCTGTTGCCTCCCAGGTGCTGCTCTGTTGCCTCCCAGGTGCTGCTCTATTGCCTGTCAGGTGCTGCTCTGTTGCCTCCCAGGTGCTGCTCTATTGCCTGTCAGGTGCTGTTCTGTTTCCTCCCAGGTGCTGCTCTCTGTTGCTCTTGAGTATCCCGTGTTTCCGTTGCTTCATCTCTTACCATTTTCTATTTTTAAATTTTTTTTTTATTTTTTTATCGAGTATCTCCCCTCCACTCTCAACCCCTCCTGTGTACTTGCAACCCCAACAGAAGTCTCGTCTTGTGGGTCTTTCCAGCCGCCCCTCCCCCACTTGGCAGCACGGTGCTCGTGCCCCTGCTGTCCCTGCTGCCCTTGCTGCCCCCACTGCCCCTGCTGATCTTGCTACCCCGCCTACTGCCACCCACACTGCTGGTGTTGGTGTAACTGGTGCAGGGGGGACTGGGGCAGGTGCGACTGGGGCAGGGGCCACTGGAGGGCAGCAGCAACAGGGGTTGGGGCAAGCGGTGATTGTGCTGGGGGGAGCACGTGCAGCTGCTGCAGCTGGTGCCGCTGGTGGGGCGACGGCAGCAAGAGTGGGGACGGGGACAGGGGCAGGGGCAGGGCCAGGGGGGGTCGGCGCAGGGATAGGCACAGCTGCTGCTGCAGCAGCAACAGGAACAATGACAAACGGAGCAGCAGGAGAAGCTACGACAAACGGAGCAGCAGGAACAGCAGGAACAGCAGGAGCAGCAGGAGCAGCAGGAGCAGCAGGAACAGCAGGAGCAACAGGAGCAGCAGGAACAGCAGGAGCAGCAGGAACAGCAGGAGCAGCAGGAGCAGCAGGAGCAGCAACAACCACAGGGACGTGGGTGCAAGCTACAGAATTCCTAGACTGGATCAGAGCGACCCTGCGCGAGGGGGGAGGTGGCCCTGTGACTGTACAGGGGCCGCGGGGCGAGTGGCAGGTGGACGGGGAAGATTTGATGGACATTCTGCAGCAGGAACTACAGGGGGAGGTGCGATTCACCACCACTATAGTCACAGGGGACGGGTGGGCGGGCGGGGTGGGGGATGTGACGGGTGGGGGAGTGGGAGGGGGTGGGGATGGGTTGGGAGTGGGGTTGGGGCCTGGTGGGGTGGGGGGAACGGGCAGGGGGGAGAGGGGAGGAGGGGGTGCGGAAGGGGCGGTCGCAGGAGAGGGCGGGGGAGGGCACGGGGGGAGGGACGAAGGGGGCACTGAGGGGCGAGGAAGGGAAGGAGGGGAAATAGGGGTGGGGGCGAGCGAGGAGGAGACGAGAGAAGAAGAGGAAGAGGAAGGGGAAGAGGAGGAAGAGGAGGAAGAGGGGGAGGAGGAAGAGGAGGAAGAGGGAGAGGAAGGGGGGGAGGAGGAGGGGGAGGATGAGATGATGGACGGGCAGGGGTTGCTGCTGCTGGGGGAGGAAGAGATGGGAGAGGCGGGGGTGGAAATGTTCTCAGATACTGATGATGATGAAGGTGATGCTGATGGTGATGTTGCGGATGGGGATGATGGGAATGGTGTGGAGGAGGGTGGTGCTGGTGCTGGTGGGGATGGCGATGGGGATGAGTTGATGCTAGATGCTGCGAGTCAGGGGTTGGAAGAGGATGGGGATGAGGGGCAGCAAGAGGGGGGACCAGGGGAGCAGCAAATGGGGCAGGCCCAAGGGGTGACGGGGGCAGCAGCAGCAGTGGAGCAAGCTGGTGCAGCAGCAGCAGGGGCAGAAGCAGCAGCAGCAGCAGTGGAGCAGGCAGGTGCAGGTGGCACGGGCGCTCATGGTGTAACCATAGTGCCGCCCGTTGCTGCAGTACCGCCCGTTGCCACACTGCCGGCTGCTACAGGCACAGCGGCTCCTGGAACCACAGCAGGAGCAGCCACCGAACTAACTGGGGGAGGGCAAGGGGCTGGGGGGGAAGCGCGAGCAGGGGCAGGGGGAGGAGCGGGGGGGGCGCGTGCAGGGACAGGGGGAGGAGCAGGGGGAGCGCGTGCAGGGGCAGGGGGGGCACGAGCAGGGGAAGGGGGAGCTGGCGCAGCCAGGGGGAGGTTGGATGCAGTGCAGGCTGCAGCGGGGGAGGTGTTTCGCGGGTTCTGGATGAACATTCCCCCCATCAGGCGCACTGCCAGGCTGAGGCGGAGGGGCATCTCGGGGAGGGCGGATCTGTTTGGGCAGGGGGGGGGAAGGGGGGGAGGCGCGGAGGAGAGGGAGAGTGGGGCGGTGGTGGGCGGGGGCATGGCGAGTGGGGTGTGTGTGAAGGGGTGTGGGCATGTGATTCACCACTCGTGCATGGACCAGTACTTCTCAAGTCTGTACCAGCGGTGAGTGTGTTGTTGTTACTAGCTGGGAGTGTGTCTTATCCAGGTGTGAAGGGGTGTGGGCATGTGATACATCATTCGTGCATGGACCAGTATTTCTCAAGTCTCTACCAGAGGTGAGTGTGGCGCTGCTAGTGGTGAGTAGGTGGGTTCTGGATGACCATCATCTCATTCCCCCCATCAGGCGCACTGCTAGGCTGAGGTCTTCAAAGGCGCGTCAAAAGACGCACTGCTAGGCTGAGGCGCATGGGGTGTGTGTGAAAGGGTGTGGGCATATGAATCGCCACTCGTGCATGGACCAGTGCATGGACGCTCCAAACCCCACGTCTCCCCACCTCTTTCCACGTTCCTCCCCCCTCCCCCACCGTCTCCCCACCTCGTTCCACGTCCCCCCCCCCTCCCCCACGTCTCCCTGTCTGTACTGGCAGGTATCTGAGTGGTTCTTTCTATGAAGGCTCGTCTGTAGTGGACCCTGAAGCGGTGAGTGTGGCAAGCTGAGCATGGGTCTCATCCATGTTCAGTTCAGACCACTGGGTTAGAATCTAAAAACACTCGATAATGCGCAGTAGAAAGAAAACAGTAGGGAGCTGCTGTCACGGCTGTGTCTCTGTGCACGCAACCCTCCCTTTGTCATGCGGAACTGTGCTGACCCTGTTGACCTCGTTTTTCCTCCTTTCTCCGCCCCTCAATCCCATTCTGCTTACTTTCCCTTTTCTCGCCGTCTGTGTCCCACCCCGCCCCACCCCACCCCACCCCAACCCCATGCCACATCACACCGCACTGCACCACACCAATTCGCAGGGCGAGTTCCTGTGCCCCGTGTGCCGCCGTCTCGCCAACGCCACGCTCCCTCTGCTCCCATCTCGCTCCCCGCCTCTGCCCTCCCCACCCATTCCCTCGCATCCCCTCCCAACTCCTCTGCCCTCTTCTCCTCTCCCTGGGGCTCCCCCCTCCACCCCCCTTGCCGCACCTGCTGAGACCCAAGGACGGGCACAAGAAGCAGTGCAGATTGGAGCAGCAACAGCAGGAGAAGGGTTTGTAGCAGCAGGAGAAGCAGCAGCAGCAGCAGTGCCGAGAGTAGCAGCAGGAGAGACCGGAATGCTTGGTTCAGAAGACACGTCAAGTGGTGCGTCTGGTTTGGCTGGTGTAGTGTGGAGAATAAGAGAGGCGGAGAGCAGGGTGAGGGAACGTAACCTCCGAGCCTGCATTGTTGCCGAACCTGCTGTCAGGTCCGGGGAAGGCAGGCTCGGCACCAGAGCTGCGTCAAGGAGAGATTCAAGTGGTGGGACCACCATGAGCAGCACTGAGGGCATTATTAGGGGTGGCTCCTCTTACCCTAGAGAAACAGGTACCACGGTAACGGGTAATGCGGTAGCTGGTAGTGCAGTAACCACCCCTCAAGACATGGTAACCAGACAGCCTCCACGTATGCAGGAGGCTATAGAGGCCACAGCCATGCGCATCTGCCAGGTGGCGCGCTCCGATTCGTCGAGATTCCGCCACGTGGCGCTTGGCCGTGAGCTACAAGGCCTGCTGATCTGGCAGAGTCTGGAATACACCGCTGCCTGCGCTGAGCTGGCAGGGCGAGGGGCGCCACCTGGCTGTCCAGCTGGCAGGGTTGACACGTCAGCACAGTTCTGGGGGCTGGGGGAGACGGCTTCGGCTAGGATGAGGACAGGTGGCACAATGTGGTTGGCTACTGCTGAGGCGAGAGTCGCGGCATTGGCTGCTTGTGCGGAGGAGGAAGGGTGGAAGGGGGAGTGGATGGAGGGAAGAGCAGAGGGAGAGGGGAGCGGGTGTGAGGGAGCAAGCATGAGGGGGCAAGAGAGAGGTGGGTCCAGCAGTGGAATGCAAATAGGGAGTTCAAGAGGCATGGGGGTGGGAGGGGATGCCAGCAGTAGTGGTCAAGAGAGGAGTGAGGAAGGTGGAGGGAACAGCATAGGAAGAGAGGTGAGCGGTGGTGAGGAGAGGAGCAGTGGTGGTGAAGGGGAGAGCAGCAGTGATACTATGGAGGAGGAGAGGAGGTATCAGGAGTTGAGGAGGCAGCTTATAGAGAAGATGCAGGGGAGGGCGCAAGGGGGGGCGAAAGGGGGGGCGCACGGGGGAGCCCAAGGGGGGAGGAAGAGGAAGGCGGAGGGCACAGTGGGGGCACTGGCACGGCTGGCAGTGGCGCAGGCATCTCACAGCACACACGCTGTCATGCTCAGGACACGTGGCATGTTGCTATTGGTGGACAGCTTGGCCCCTGGGACACCGTTGGAAGCAGCACAATCCGCACCTCTTGTTGCAGCCGTCCCTTCATCTGGTTCTCCCCATCCCTCCCACCCCTCCCATCCCTCCTCCTCCTCTGCTTCCACGTCCACCTCCCCACCTCCCTCTCTCCCCTCCTCCCTCACCACCGCCCCATCCCCATCCTCTCCCCCGGAGGAAAACGCCTTTCTCCGCCTCCTCGCCTCCCCCGCTCTCGTCCGTGACCCGTTCCTCTCCCTCTCCCGCCTCCTCTACTGCCTCCTCCCACTCCCCCTCCCCCACCTCGCCTCACCTTCCCACCCATCTCAACACACAGCTTCAGGTTTGTTGGAGCATAAAGTAAGCGGAGAGGAGGGCACGGCGGGTGTGGTGAGGGATGCAGTGCATCTGGCATACACAGCAGCGGTGGCTCAATCCCTGCTGCTCCTCGCCCCTGCTGCCATCCGCCTGGGCTTGCTTCCAGCATCCGCAAGCCCTTCTGGCGTTCCCGAGCCTACCCCTGCCGAGCCTGCTGGTGCCGGGCCTGCCCTGCCGCCATTCCTCTCATCTCTGCTCACCTCCATGCTGCAAGCGCTCGCACCGGCTTCCCAAACTGCTGCTGTTGCTGCACTCGCAACACTAGCAACACCTTCGCTCGCCACATCTCCCTCTCCCTCCACCTCCTCCCCCTCCACCTCTCCCTCCTCCCCCTCGTCACCTCTCCTCCCCGACCTGCTCCTCCAGCAGACCTCATTCCTAGAAGCCGTGCGTCGCCTCTCCCTGCCCTTCCTGCGCCGCTCTGCCCTCCTCCTGCACCTCCTCTCCCGCAACGTCCTCCCTCTGCTGCTCATGCCCTCCGCGCCTCCCTTGCTCTTCCCCTCCCAACCGTCAGCCATCCCCTCCCACCCCTCAGTTTCCTCGTTCCCAGCCCCCTCTCCCTCTCTTTGTCCCCCCTCCACTTCAACTCCTCCATCCTCCCACCGCCATCATTCCAACCAACCAGGACCCGCCACACCACCCCCTACCACAACCCCACCAACACCACCACCATCATCATCAGCATCACCATCACCACCACCCCCATCACCACCAGAACCATCATCATCCTCATCACCATCACCATCCACAGCCCTGCCCCCCTGGGTGCTAGACACCCAGGTGTTGGCACAGCAGGAGGTGGCGGAAGCAGCAGTGTGGGAGCGGGAGTTCCAGCTGCCTCCGCTCTCTGTGCTTCTCTCTGACCCTGCTGCTGTGCACCTCATACTCTACTGGTGCCACCACGCTGCTGCTGCTTCTGCTGCTGCTGCTGCTGCTTCTGCTGCTAATGCTGCGACCGCTGCTAGGCCAGGCTCGTCACCTGCTGCTCCTGCAGCAGCACTGGCAGAAGTAGCAGCAGCAGCAGCAGCAGCAGCACCGGCAGCTGCAACGGCGGCAGCAGCAGCGACTGCAGTTATCTCTCCCTTGTCGTTGCACCAGCCATCGCTCGCCTTGCCCTTCCGCCTCGTCTCCCTCCCCCACCGATACCTCGACTTCTTCCAACGGTGAGTTCCTACCCTCCCCGGCCCTCCCGGACCCTCCCAGGCCCCGTCCAGTCAGTTCTTACATACCATCATATCAGAACCCCCTCCACCTGTGTTGTGTTTGTGCCCCCGTCTCCCTCCCCCACCGCTACCTCGCCTTTTTCCAGCGGTCAGTCCCTTCCCACCCTCCCCTCCCCAGCCCTCCGCTGCCCTCCCCAGCCCTCCCCATGCATTTTTTCTGAACCCCCTCCTCCTGTGTTGTGTTTGTGCCCTCTCCCCTTCCCCACTGCTACCTCCACTTGCTGCCTGTATTGAAATCACTTTTGAGAATTCTCAAAAGGGATTTCAATACAGCCCTCTCCCCTCCCCCACTGCTACCCCGACTTGCTGCCTATGTTGAAATCACTTTTGAGAATTCTCAAAAGTGATTTCAATACAGCCCTCTGCCCTCCCCCACTGCTACCTCCACTTTGTTTGAGGTTTATTTTGAGAAACCACTGCTACCTCCACTTTGTTTGAGGTTTATTTTGAGAATTCTCAAAATCAACCTCAAACAAAGTGATTTCAATACAGCCCTCTGCCCTCTCCCCTCCCCCACTGCTTTCTACCTCCACTTGCTGCCTTCTGCGGCGCCTCAGAACTTCTCCTCACCCTCCCCACCCTCCTCTCCTCTCCCGTTGCAGCTGCCTGGGTGAGTCATGGGCATCGTGCCAGCTGGTGTATTTTCAGGCGCCTCAAGACTCCTCCCCCGCACCCTGTCCTCCTCTCCCTTCCCTCCTCCTCCCCCCTTGCAGCTACGTGAATGAGCCGTGTGCATCGTGCCCGCTGGTGCCTTTTGAGGCGCCTTCAATGTCTCCTTCCTCTCCTCCTTTCCCCCCACCTTGTCCCCCCCTCTCCCACAGCTACGTGAATGAGCCGTGTGCATCGTGCCCGCTGGTGCCTTTTGAGGCGCCTTCAATGTCTCCTTCCTCTCCTCCTTTCCCCCCACCTTGTCCCCCCCTCTCCCACAGCTACGTGAATGAGCCGTGTGCATCGTGCCCGCTGGTGCCTTTTGAGGCGCCTTCAATGTCTCCTTCCTCTCCTCCTTTCCCCCCACCTTGTCCCCCCCTCTCCCACAGCTACGTGAATGAGCCGTGTGCATCGTGCCCGCTGGTGCCTTTTGAGGCGCCTTCAATGTCTCCTTCCTCTCCTCCTTTCCCCCCACCTTGTCCCCCCCTCTCCCACAGCTACGTGAATGAGCCGTGTGCATCGTGCCCGCTGGTGCCTTTTGAGGCGCCTTCAATGTCTCCTTCCTCTCCTCCTTTCCCCCCACCTTGTCCCCCCCTCTCCCACAGCTACGTGAATGAGCCGTGTGCATCGTGCCCGCTGGTGCCTTTTGAGGCGCCTTCAATGTCTCCTTCCTCTCCTCCTTTCCCCCCACCTTGTCCCCCCCTCTCCCACAGCTACGTGAATGAGCCGTGTGCATCGTGCCCGCTGGTGCCTTTTGAGGCGCCTTCAATGTCTCCTTCCTCTCCTCCTTCCCCCCCACCTTGTCCCCCCCTCTCCCACAGCTACGTGAATGAGCCATGTGCATCGTGCCAGCTGGTGCCGGAGCAGCCAGCCTTCTGTCTACTCTGCGCTTCACTGCTCTGCGGATCCACCAGGTGAGCCCCTCGCACTGCTCCACCCCTTTCCTCTCTTGTGTGACGAGATGACTCTACAGACGAGTCAAATGCCAGTTGGTGCCAGAGCAGCCACCCAACTGCCTGCTCTCTGCTGCGCTGCTCTGCGTATCCCCCACGTGGGTGGCTCGCACTGCCCCACGTGGGTGGCTCGCACTGCCCCACGTGGGTGGCTCGCACTGCCCCACGTGGGTGGCTCGCACTGCCCCACGTGGGTGGCTCGCACTGCCCCACGTGGGTGGCTCGCACTGCCCCACGTGGGTGGCTCGCACTGCCCCACGTGGGTGGCTCGCACTGCCCCACGTGGGTGGCTCGCACTGCCCCACGTGGGTGGCTCGCACTGCCCCACGTGGGTGGCTCGCACTGCTCCACGTGGGTGGCTCGCACTGCCCCACGTGGGTGGCTCGCACTGCCCCACGTGGGTGGCTCGCACTGCCCCACGTGGGTGGCTCGCACTGCCCCACGTGGGTGGCTCGCACTGCCCCACGTGGGTGGCTCGCACTGCCCCACGTGGGTGGCTCGCACTGCCCCACGGGTGGCTCGCACTGCCCCACGTGGGTGGCTCGCACTGCCCCACGTGGGTGGCTCGCACTGCCCCACGTGGGTGGCTCGCACTGCCCCACGTGGGTGGCTCGCACTGCCCCACGTGGGTGGCTCGCACTGCCCCACGTGGGTGGCTCGCACTGCCCCACGTGGGTGGCTCGCACTGCCCCACGTGGGTGGCTCGCACTGCCCCACGTGGGTGGCTCGCACTGCCCCACGTGGGTGGCTCGCACTGCCCCACGCCACCAGTCTCCTCTCACTCTTCACATCCAATGCTTCAAAATATTAACCCACCCCCCCTTGCCTCCAGCCCGCCCCTGCTTGCTCCCAGCCTGGCTTCCCGTTGATCCCTCGCTTCTCCCACCGCCTTAGAACAGTGCTCCCTCTGCTTTCCCACGCTTCTTTGATCACGCTCTACCTTCCATTACCCCATGCTCCCTTGCTTGTATGTTTTTTGAGAATTCTAAAGAAACATACGCTTCTCCGACCGCCTTAGAACAGTGCTCCCTCTGCTTTCCCACGCTTCTTTGATCACGCTCTACCTTCCATTACCCCATGCTCCCTTGCTTGTATGTTTTTTGAGAATTCTAAAGAAACATACGCTTCTCCGACCGCCTTAGAACAGTGCTCCCTCTGCTTTCCCACGCTTCTTTGATCACGCTCTACCTTCCATTACCCCATGCTCCCTTGCTTGTATGTTTTTTGAGAATTCTAAAGAAACATACGCTTCTCCGACCGCCTTAGAACAGTGCTCCCTCTGCTTTCCCACGCTTCTTTGATCACGCTCTACCTTCCATTACCCCATGCTCCCTTGCTTGTATGTTTTTTGAGAATTCTAAAGAAACATACGCTTCTCCGACCGCCTTAGAACAGTGCTCCCTCTGCTTTCCCACGCTTCTTTGATCACGCTCTACCTTCCATTACCCCATGCTCCCTTGCTTGTATGTTTTTTGAGAATTCTAAAGAAACATACGCTTCTCCGACCGCCTTAGAACAGTGCTCCCTCTGCTTTCCCACGCTTCTTTGATCACGCTCTACCTTCCATTACCCCATGCTCCCTTGCTTGTATGTTTTTTGAGAATTCTAAAGAAACATACGCTTCTCCGACCGCCTTAGAACAGTGCTCCCTCTGCTTTCCCACGCTTCTTTGATCACGCTCTACCTTCCATTACCCCATGCTCCCTTGCTTGTATGTTTTTTGAGAATTCTAAAGAAACATACGCTTCTCCGACCGCCTTAGAACAGTGCTCCCTCTGCTTTCCCACGCTTCTTTGATCACGCTCTACCTTCCATTACCCCATGCTCCCTTGCTTGTATGTTTTTTGAGAATTCTAAAGAAACATACGCTTCTCCGACCGCCTTAGAACAGTGCTCCCTCTGCTTTCCCACGCTTCTTTGATCACGCTCTACCTTCCATTACCCCATGCTCCCTTGCTTGTATGTTTTTTGAGAATTCTAAAGAAACATACGCTTCTCCGACCGCCTTAGAACAGTGCTCCCTCTGCTTTCCCACGCTTCTTTGATCACGCTCTACCTTCCATTACCCCATGCTCCCTTGCTTGTATGTTTTTTGAGAATTCTAAAGAAACATACGCTTCTCCGACCGCCTTAGAACAGTGCTCCCTCTGCTTTCCCACGCTTCTTTGATCACGCTCTACCTTCCATTACCCCATGCTCCCTTGCTTGTATGTTTTTTGAGAATTCTAAAGAAACATACGCTTCTCCGACCGCCTTAGAACAGTGCTCCCTCTGCTTTCCCACGCTTCTTTGATCACGCTCTACCATTACCCCATGCTCCCTTGCTTGTATGTTTTTTGAGAATTCTAAAGAAACATACGCTTCTCCGACCGCCTTAGAACAGTGCTCCCTCTGCTTTCCCACGCTTCTTTGATCACGCTCTACCTTCCATTACCCCATGCTCCCTTGCTTGTATGTTTTTTGAGAATTCTAAAGAAACATACGCTTCTCCGACCGCCTTAGAACAGTGCTCCCTCTGCTTTCCCACGCTTCTTTGATCACGCTCTACCTTCCATTACCCCATGCTCCCTTGCTTGTATGTTTTTTGAGAATTCTAAAGAAACATACGCTTCTCCGACCGCCTTAGAACAGTGCTCCCTCTGCTTTCCCACGCTTCTTTGATCACGCTCTACCTTCCATTACCCCATGCTCCCTTGCTTGTATGTTTTTTGAGAATTCTAAAGAAACATACGCTTCTCCGACCGCCTTAGAACAGTGCTCCCTCTGCTTTCCCACGCTTCTTTGATCACGCTCTACCTTCCATTACCCCATGCTCCCTTGCTTGTATGTTTTTTGAGAATTCTAAAGAAACATACGCTTCTCCGACCGCCTTAGAACAGTGCTCCCTCTGCTTTCCCACGCTTCTTTGATCACGCTCTACCTTCCATTACCCCATGCTCCCTTGCTTGTATGTTTTTTGAGAATTCTAAAGAAACATACGCTTCTCCGACCGCCTTAGAACAGTGCTCCCTCTGCTTTCCCACGCTTCTTTGATCACGCTCTACCTTCCATTACCCCATGCTCCCTTGCTTGTATGTTTTTTGAGAATTCTAAAGAAACATACGCTTCTCCGACCGCCTTAGAACAGTGCTCCCTCTGCTTTCCCACGCTTCTTTGATCACGCTCTACCTTCCATTACCCCATGCTCCCTTGCTTGTATGTTTTTTGAGAATTCTAAAGAAACATACGCTTCTCCGACCGCCTTAGAACAGTGCTCCCTCTGCTTTCCCACGCTTCTTTGATCACGCTCTACCTTCCATTACCCCATGCTCCCTTGCTTGTATGTTTTTTGAGAATTCTAAAGAAACATACGCTTCTCCGACCGCCTTAGAACAGTGCTCCCTCTGCTTTCCCACGCTTCTTTGATCACGCTCTACCTTCCATTACCCCATGCTCCCTTGCTTGTATGTTTTTTGAGAATTCTAAAGAAACATACGCTTCTCCGACCGCCTTAGAACAGTGCTCCCTCTGCTTTCCCACGCTTCTTTGATCACGCTCTACCTTCCATTACCCCATGCTCCCTTGCTTGTATGTTTTTTGAGAATTCTAAAGAAACATACGCTTCTCCGACCGCCTTAGAACAGTGCTCCCTCTGCTTTCCCACGCTTCTTTGATCACGCTCTACCTTCCATTACCCCATGCTCCCTTGCTTGTATGTTTTTTGAGAATTCTAAAGAAACATACGCTTCTCCGACCGCCTTAGAACAGTGCTCCCTCTGCTTTCCCACGCTTCTTTGATCACGCTCTACCTTCCATTACCCCATGCTCCCTTGCTTGTATGTTTTTTGAGAATTCTAAAGAAACATACGCTTCTCCGACCGCCTTAGAACAGTGCTCCCTCTGCTTTCCCACGCTTCTTTGATCACGCTCTACCTTCCATTACCCCATGCTCCCTTGCTTGTATGTTTTTTGAGAATTCTAAAGAAACATACGCTTCTCCGACCGCCTTAGAACAGTGCTCCCTCTGCTTTCCCACGCTTCTTTGATCACGCTCTACCTTCCATTACCCCATGCTCCCTTGCTTGTATGTTTTTTGAGAATTCTAAAGAAACATACGCTTCTCCGACCGCCTTAGAACAGTGCTCCCTCTGCTTTCCCACGCTTCTTTGATCACGCTCTACCTTCCATTACCCCATGCTCCCTTGCTTGTATGTTTTTTGAGAATTCTAAAGAAACATACGCTTCTCCGACCGCCTTAGAACAGTGCTCCCTCTGCTTTCCCACGCTTCTTTGATCACGCTCTACCTTCCGTTACCCCATGCTCCCTTGCTTGTATGTTTTTTGAGAATTCTAAAGAAACATACGCTTCTCCGACCGCCTTAGAACAGTGCTCCCTCTGCTTTCCCACGCTTCTTTGATCACGCTCTACCTTCCGTTACCCCATGCTCCCTTGCTTGTATGTTTTTTGAGAATTCTAAAGAAACATACGCTTCTCCGACCGCCTTAGAACAGTGCTCCCTCTGCTTTCCCACGCTTCTTTGATCACGCTCTACCTTCCAGTTACCCCATGCTCCCTTGCTTGTATGTTTTTTGAGAATTCTAAAGAAACATACGCTTCTCCGACCGCCTTAGAACAGTGCTCCCTCTGCTTTCCCACGCTTCTTTGATCACGCTCTACCTTCCATTACCCCATGCTCCCTTGCTTGTATGTTTTTTGAGAATTCTAAAGAAACATACGCTTCTCCGACCGCCTTAGAACAGTGCTCCCTCTGCTTTCCCACGCTTCTTTGATCACGCTCTACCTTCCATTACCCCATGCTCCCTTGCTTGTATGTTTTTTGAGAATTCTAAAGAAACATACGCTTCTCCGACCGCCTTAGAACAGTGCTCCCTCTGCTTTCCCACGCTTCTTTGATCACGCTCTACCTTCCATTACCCCATGCTCCCTTGCTTGTATGTTTTTTGAGAATTCTAAAGAAACATACGCTTCTCCGACCGCCTTAGAACAGTGCTCCCTCTGCTTTCCCACGCTTCTTTGATCACGCTCTACCTTCCATTACCCCATGCTCCCTTGCTTGTATGTTTTTTGAGAATTCTAAAGAAACATACGCTTCTCCGACCGCCTTAGAACAGTGCTCCCTCTGCTTTCCCACGCTTCTTTGATCACGCTCTACCTTCCATTACCCCATGCTCCCTTGCTTGTATGTTTTTTGAGAATTCTAAAGAAACATACGCTTCTCCGACCGCCTTAGAACAGTGCTCCCTCTGCTTTCCCACGCTTCTTTGATCACGCTCTACCTTCCATTACCCCATGCTCCCTTGCTTGTATGTTTTTTGAGAATTCTAAAGAAACATACGCTTCTCCGACCGCCTTAGAACAGTGCTCCCTCTGCTTTCCCACGCTTCTTTGATCACGCTCTACCTTCCATTACCCCATGCTCCCTTGCTTGTATGTTTTTTGAGAATTCTAAAGAAACATACGCTTCTCCGACCGCCTTAGAACAGTGCTCCCTCTGCTTTCCCACGCTTCTTTGATCACGCTCTACCTTCCATTACCCCATGCTCCCTTGCTTGTATGTTTTTTGAGAATTCTAAAGAAACATACGCTTCTCCGACCGCCTTAGAACAGTGCTCCCTCTGCTTTCCCACGCTTCTTTGATCACGCTCTACCTTCCATTACCCCATGCTCCCTTGCTTGTATGTTTTTTGAGAATTCTAAAGAAACATACGCTTCTCCGACCGCCTTAGAACAGTGCTCCCTCTGCTTTCCCACGCTTCTTTGATCACGCTCTACCTTCCATTACCCCATGCTCCCTTGCTTGTATGTTTTTTGAGAATTCTAAAGAAACATACGCTTCTCCGACCGCCTTAGAACAGTGCTCCCTCTGCTTTCCCACGCTTCTTTGATCACGCTC